TTTCACATAAACTGAGTATGCAGATATTAAATGCTGCATTTAAGCAGATAACCATGAAACCTTGGAAGATTAGTAGGGGGGAAGTATCACTTTTCAGTAATATCCTACACATTTAGCTGCACCTCTGTGGATTGTATCGCTGAGAGGAGGATTAATTGAAAGGCTCAAGTAGCACATTTTTTTTCTTTGGTCACGGAATGCCTTTTGAGGATTAACGAGACAGCGCCACTCCAAGTGGTGGCTCCCATCTCAAGTGTTCCTAAGTGATGCATTTCTGTTTGGATATCTCAGGGCGTTGTGATGGAACCGGAATGGAAAATGCATCTCTGAGGTGCCAACTGAGGGCCATCATGGCTTTCTCTTCCCAGGGATAGCCAAATTTGTTCACATTAGTTAGGTGGTTGAGATCCAGACCAAAGTGAAGGGGGGAATCCTGTTGGCATTCAGCATCTTTTGTTTTGATACCCGCTTTTGTCCCTGGTCTGGCTTGTTTGGTGGCCTGGAGTTCTTTTCTCAGTTTTCTCTGGTGGCCAATACTCTCCATGACTGTAACTGCACATTGTCAAGAGATCTATCTCAGGCCTAGATGAAATTCCATCCTTTTCCCCCCATTAACTGTAAAAAATCTTGTTTGGCCTGCTGCTGGAGGGACTGCATATTCTGGTCTCCATCCACCTGATATTCATGTTTTCCAGTGACATGCAGTCTTGTATTTATAGCCGTAGCATTTTAAGACATGTAGCATGTGTGTACTGTGCACTATGTTCTGCTCAGTTTTAATTAATCAGATAAGGGTTTTGTTATTATAATTTGTTATTCACATGAAAGTGCACGTAGGGGAACTTCTTGCTGTGACCATTAAGTGGAAAAATGATAACATTCTACGCTCTGTTGAGAGTTGATGATTCTACAAATGGCAATTGGCATATCTGATGTTCATAAAACCGTGACCAAACTGCATGCAAGATGTTGTGGAAACGTCGTTACACTCGACATGCCTCTCTTCTGATTAATATTCACTTTAAAGGGACCTGTGCAATATATTTATTTCACTATACAGCCGTGAAATTGCAGCTTTTTGTTTCAATTGACCTTACTTTGAATGTTTTTTTTGGAGATTTTTGGTGTCCATGTTAATGTATATTCATGAGCAAAACTATTACATCAGCCAAGGCACTGAACCTTAATGTTGCACTGATTTGTGCAAAAACTGCTGGATTGTTCTTGATGTTTTACTGAGGTGTAAACTTACATTTCATTGGCAAAGTTTTGTGTAAGTACATGTACTGTATATGGCAATCGGCCTTGAACATGACCAAGAGATGGCACTATTTTCTTGGCAACACAAGTTCCTTTGGGCAGAACTGAACTTTGCTACATGTGCATGTAGTTCACAGACCTCTAGGAAATGCATGCTTCACAGTTGCATCACTACCAACAAAATGAATACTCCTAACCAATATGGCTCTTTTCAACTGATGAGGGGGTGCTTTTGCTCAAAGTGGATTAGCCAGCAAGCAATCTTTTCTTAGAAGTATTAATCAACGAGCAACTTTCAGGATCAATCTTTGAACACGGAAACACTAAGCCTGCAGTGTCTTGCCTGATTTAAGTACATGTACATGCACATCACATCACAACCACAGCACTGTCATTTGTCTGGAAAAGCTGTGAAAAGATTTTCAGTGTTTAAAACATTATATATATTGAAATGAAATGACATATATTAAGTACCCTTAGATGGTTTCAAACAGCTTTTATGATTGAAGAAGTGTATGCGTACATGTGTGCATAAAAAGTGAGTTGAAGAAAATTCAGTGTATCGGCCTTTCAACTTTTTACTTGAGAGGAAAGCAGTACCAGGCCAATTCACGAATGGTAAATAGTGCTTCTTCAGTCTTTCTCAATGTTGCATAATAACTCAAATAGACTGGTTCTCGAGAATTCTGTTCACACAAAGTTTACGTGTATGCAACAATGTCCAGTAGAAACAAAAGAAAACAGCATTTTCTAATTAAACAGTGTATACATGTATGTGGGAATATTTTGTTTTTGTTTGACATAGATCTTGTTCAAAGAAATAATGCTTCCTCTGTTGATACACCATTATGATTCTTATAGTTTGTAATTTCTATTCCAAAAGCTCAAAAAGACCGACGTGGGCACTGATTAGTTTTTGTTGACAGTACAGCCTGACATGTTATAAGCTACATCCCACTCCTTGGCCATTCATTGGGTACTTTAAATAATTGGGGAAAGGCTAAACAACTTCTCTCCAGAGTATAAATAAACTACCTGGTACTTGGAAGATTGAATTCCATTCTTGGTTGAATTGCTGTGTGGTTGAATGTAATACAGTGGAGATTGGTGGGGGAAGGTTGAGGTAAATTGTTTAGAGTAATCAGAGACCTCTTCTTTTGTTTCAGTCTGACCTTCCTGAGTTACTGAACATGAAAGACCTTGGTGGAGATCTACATGTACATTAGGCTTGGTAAACCTGGTCACCAAACATTGCAGTAGTGTACACGCTCATAGAAGTACATGTACACATGTGGGGTGTACATGTACATGTGGGGTACATGTATGGGTGCAGTGTCCCAATTCAAGGAAAATTCTCCGCCAGCCCGAGGTATACAAAAAGTACCCCTACAGATTCATTCAAAAAGAAGGGGGTCTGTTTGGGGCAAGAAATGGTGTGATTGTGTTAGTATGGCCCAGAATCATCTCTATAGATTCAGGGGCACCCATCTGGGGGCAATGCAGATGAAAATGTGATTGAAAATTTGTCAGAAGAGCCCCAGGAAGGTGAGGGATGTCATTTGAAAAATGGCCACTGAGAAGACTTGGGAACATTCACTTTTGGGGGGTGAGTTTGTTTTTGACGGATAATTAAACAAATCATTGGTTAACCTACTAAAAATTGAAAATCAAATGAAATCTGAAGGACCAAACAGCACATTGTTTTTTGTTTGAGAGGCCTCAGGGGCTTCAGTTGCCTGCCATGGGGCTCCAAACTTGATTGATTTTACACTATTTTCAGTGGAGCTTAAATTGGTTTAGTACACCTGTATATACATATACATGTATATGTACTGTACCTGCATGTACATGTACATGTACGTTTGTAGTTCGTAGTTACTGTAATGGCTGGAAGCAGCAGTGGCAACTTTTTAGTACTGGTTGAGGTTGAAGTGACCTGCAGCTTCTACATGTACTTGTATGCTGAGAGAAGGGATGGGCAGGAAATTAAAAAGTGAAGACATATTTGTGACCATGCACTGTCGAAACGTTTAGTGGAATATCTTGTTTGGAAAATTAACCTGGTGTGCTCCTACACGTTCTTTCCCTTTAACCAAATGTGTGTAAATATTTTTTCGGGGGGGGGGGGGAGGAGGGAATGATAAATTGGGAAGTGGGGGAGATGAGGAAAGGAGGTTTTTCAGGACAATTTTACTTCTGTTCCTTTCAAAAGCATATACATGTAGAAAGCCCCAATTTGTAGCCTCATCTGTCAGAGAGGCCTTAAATTGACCGCCTCTGATCCATAAAACACTTCTTTTAACCCGTCCTCAACAATATGGTTCTTTCAATGATCTGCACGCTTTTACACATGTACATTGTAATTTCATTTCACCCAGCAAATATGTGATTTGTGCATACATGTACATGTACATGTAAATTTGTACCCCCACATCAATGACAAATGAAAAGGCTTGGTTGATACTACAGTACGCCATTGTCGATAAACAAACAGTAACTGATGCTTAATGTCTTCTTCAATCAACTTGTACAAAGTCAAAGGCCTCTTCCAATGACGAAATTTGAAGTTTCAAGCTCTGAGTGTCGAGTAGTTAAGACTGGACAGGTATCGTGGACTACAGTACATGTACCTGTAAAATTCCACCTGAGAAAATGGGAATGGATTCCAAGTGGACGATTTATGACCTCACCTCAGTAAGTACTGGTAAGGCGACGGTTCTTCAGGATCGAGAAGCTCATGCATGCACTCTGAGTTCCGTGTACATGTACGTGTACACGTACAGTACATGTACATGTACATGTACGTACGTGTACATGGAACTCTATGCACAAGTGCATCCTCATTGGTGAAAAGGGAGGGGCTTGGCCGACACATGAATACCATTGCTGTCGTGCACTGGATGTCATGCCTGAGGACCCCATGTGTTTGCACATATTCAGATCGTGCAACTCCATCCTCTCAAGTATTCCATGCCATGTGTACACGAACATTGTGATCACAATCTGGCTGGTACTCCCAATGCTTGAGGTTGCTGGAAAATGTTGCATGCACATTTCTTGTTGATCAAATGGTCAATGTTTGTATTTGCCATGCATGGAGTGCCTGTCAGCCATTTACGGTTTTGTTGTGTAACATTGTTTGTCCATTTGAAATAGGCATTCCACTTTGATATATTTCATGTGTGTTCTCCATTTTCTGCCAAAATCCGGTACACATGCTTCCAAAAAGAAAATTTTGTAAGTAAGCTGGTAGAAGTTTTCATTTTAACTGAGTCAAGCACACAAACACGCAAATTACCTTCAACTACCTTTGGAAAAGCATACATATGTCATAAGACTACTTCAGAATTAAGCCACAGAATAAAAATGTTTACAAGGAAACCTATGAAACTTGAAACTTCCGTCCTGAAATAACTATGTGATGCAAGAGTATGTGTGTACTCTCAATCAATTTGAGTGTACACCCACGCTTAACAGTGGGGTTATAGTACACCCACCATTTGTATGCCTTGAGTATACTCATTTTAATGCAAGTACATGTACTCGTATTGTGCTCGCTTGAACATTTGTAGCCTTGTGTATTGGCCCAATGGACTTTGTTGCTAGGTAACAAAACATCCAGTAATGTGGCATACATGAACATGTAGGTAAAAAGCCAAACCAGATGTGTTTCCAAGTGTTGCCTTCACTGTTCTACACATGAAATTTGAAGTATTTGCCTTTTCTTTTTTCTCATACAGGCTGAGCTTTCGCAGACTCTGACATCATTGACTGAGAAAGCCAGACAAGCCAAGGACTTCCTGGTTCATCTTAAAGACAAGGTCAATCAAGTCCAGGTAAAAAGTCTTTGCCTTAATCGAACCAATGTTTCTGTAACCTCAGGTTGTTCATCCGCTGAATTCATTAGTGTATCAGTGAGGCTATTGATGACTTCTAACTTGGACATGTACATTTAGGTATCAACGAAATGTAAAGGTGGGAAGACACAAGTATGTACAGTGTACATGTTCAGGTATGTAACTTGTGTGGACATTCATTTGTAATACATACATGTAAATGTATCGTTGAGATGACTTGGTGAAGATATTCAGTTTTCCTGCCATGTGAACAATTTGAAGCTGGATTTTGTTGATGGTTTCCTTGACGGTTCTTCACCCTTTCGCTACCCATAACCGTAACCCCAAAATACTTCTAAAACTGTTTCAGAACTTAGGGTGTAACATTGTGTGGAGCTTGTATAGTCCACACATTAACACATACACTGTACATGTACATGTACGTGAACCTCTTTTGTTCATGGGTCCACATTTACTTCTACCCCGGTACAGTCATGCAAGTACATGTAAAAGTACATGTACATGTATATGGGTAATTCCAGAAATTCAAGGGCTCCAAAAGCGTGGCATTTTTGTGTTCCTGTTACATGTACATCTGACCTTTGTTATTTGACATGAAAAATCAACAGACTTGATTTCAAACGATAACTATTTGTTTAGCAGGCAATTTGCATTAATTCATCACTCTTGGAAACTAAAAGTGTGTTCTGAACTTACAAACTCATGTGACAGGGACATGAAAAAAAATGGACCCCTAATTTCTGGAATTACCCATATGTACATGTAAGCATTGGCACCCCTCATAACTGATTGTCCAATGTTAGTAAATTTTAAATTCACTGTCTACATGTAAATTGTAAATTCGCAAAAAATCAGAATCAGTATCTAAGAAAAATACTCACCCTACGTGTAAGTCATACTTTACTTTTAAAAGTCTCCAAGTCTTTATCATTTAGTATTTGACTTGACGATCATATCGCAGTACGGGTTACAATCCTGTTAACTAACACTGTACCACTTTAAACCATATTGATCGTGTCGATTAGACGAAGGGTTTTGTGTCCCTACGTAAATTGATAGATGCATGTATACTGATGCTCTAAATGGGCGTACTGTACCTCCTTGTCTGCGGTATCTAGACTATTCCCCACCCTCCTTGCAAATTGAATAGAAGCTGTGAAGGCAAATCCAGCTGTCAATTTGTCCTTTGAATGTGGCATTTGGGAAAAGGCTTCTTGTTTATAAAATAAAACTGCACAGAGCTGAAGGTGCTTGAAACAGCTATTCTGTTCATGCCTCATAGTCACTTGTGCCCTTTGTAAATGTAAAGCTCAAAGGACATCCCTGTAACTATTGAAACAGTCACCAAATATTCAAGTTTAAACCATCATGGATATTTTTAAAACACATTTACAGAGATCCAGTCACTTGTTCGCTCATTTTTACAAATTTCTCGTGCAAATTTAATATACCTGTACAATGAAAATTTAGTAGCATGAAATTCAAATTCCATGTGCATTTTGAACTCACTGAAGCAGTTGTAATATCATCAAAGGGTGTAAGCTTAGGAAAAAAAAATGTCTTCCACGATGATGTGTTCCACAAGTCATTTCACAAATGTAGACCAACATGTACATGTGTACCGGTACAGTTTACTGGATTTCCAGAAACTCCATCCTGCAGGTGACTAATGAAACCACGCATCCATGACATTGACACCTTAATGGCTGCCACCTTCTCCTTTCACAGGGAACCAATTATGCTCTTTTTTGTTGGTGACTTTTTTAAACAGGGTATATTTATAAGCACTTTGAGGGACATTAAGGCTGAACTGACATTTATACAATGCTCTGACTGTGAGATACATGTACATGTAGTACAAGAACATGTACATGTATAGGCATATACAGTACCTGTACATGTACCGATATGTACTGTACATGTACAGGAATGCGTTCTTCAGTTTCTCCATCCTACTCATGCAAACATCACTTTTAGACTCCAGTGTGGACTGCTCATGTACATGTATGCACTCGTCTGCAGATAGAGGGTCAAAGTGTCAATTTGTCTGAATCATTTACCAGTATCTTTCCATCCATTTTACTCAGTGCCCATAAATTGTTGAACCATTGGCCCGTCTCCTCCTGGTCCCTCTCCGAATGTGTGCACAAGAAATTTACAGTAATTAATTTGATGACGAAGAAACAGAAAGTGCAAGCCAGGGCATGGTGCAATGGCATCGCAAAGTGCATTTACCCACAGAGGGAGAACGGAAGGGATGAGGATTAGGAGAAGTGGACACCAATTCGTCGTCCACACACAGAATGGATTTTTGTCTGTCGTGATCGCTTTGTTAGGTTTACACACGTTGGAAGTCGACTCATTAGAGCTATCGGTCTTGGGGATATTTAGTAGTAGAATTATCATTGGTTCGACATTTATGAGCTTCCGTTGTTTGGAAGTGGAATTTTTACATTGATGGCTTTTAATCAATTTCAGCGTTGTTTGGTTAAATCAAATCCCCCCAGCTGCTTTTGCTGTGACTCAAAAAACTTGAATGGGTTTTATACTTGATTAGTGAACAATCCAAGTGACTTGTTCCAAGGCTCTGATAATCAAGATTCACTTCAACAAGCACAGCAGAGCTTGGAATAAGAAATAATTCTCTTTTCTGTCATAGTCCGTTTTGGGCTTAACACCGGTTAAGAGAAAATTTTGCTATGAACAGTTCACAGAAAATTTCTTGCCATGGGCTTGCATTTTGCATGAAATGGCTTCTGTAGCATGTTCATTTACTGTGCATGTACAGCACATTAGTTTGAACTGTACATATACATGTAAGTATACAAACTTTCTCCTTATCTACTACAAGCACTTTGTACTCAAGGAGAGCAAGGGGAACATGCCCCACCTATATGTACAGACACACTCATAGAGCCACTTTTTGAACTTTGGGGGTTTTACCGGACAAACATGTTCCAAATTTGTTTTTTCAGGAATGTGTTTTTTTCAATGCAGAAACTTAACTTGAAAGAATGTTGACGGTGTGACTGATTTAATGTGCCTTTTCACAGGAGTGCACAGTGGAATTTGAAGCGAGTCTGGTGGCCAAGTTTGACGAGCTGATTGAAGCCCTGAAAAAACGCAAGGAGATGCTGATTCGCCAGGTAAAGGTTAGATGATTACTGAGGAAATTAATGGAAGCCGCCCAGATGTGAAGGTGGGCATTTGGCCAAGAGGTTAGGGTCTGTTGCTTCCAATCATAGGGTTGGAGGTCTGAATCCAGCTGGTGGCAGTAAGTTGTGGCCCTTGGCAGGCCACTTCACCCCTGCTTGCCTCTCTCCACCCAGGAGCCAGGTACCAGCATTAGCTGGAAATGCAACCCCAGATGGACTGGCATCCCATCCAGGGGGAATAGAAATATTCTCAGTTGTTTCATGCCTAGGAAACCAGAGATAAACACCGGCCTATGAGCCAAATTGGCTCAGACCAGACTTGCTTTTTTGCCAGGACATGAACAGTATGTAGCTGGATATACATGTAGTTGTCCATCGATATTGATAATTGTCAGTGCGGTCTTCTTGTCAGTGCCCCAGATCCAGAGCAACATTGAGGGACGGAGGCAACTTTTTTCTTCAGAGAGTGTCATTTTTATGCTGCCAAGAATAATTTTTTGGGTTCTTTGCATGCTTTTGGAAAGAAGGAGAATTGAATTTTTCCATTTTCTCTCATATTTTGAGAAATAATTGCAAGGGGGTGATGGTCCCGTTGTCCCCTTCCTCCCTCCCCCATCTTCCATAAAGGTAGATTTGCCAGCATCAGGAGCACTGGTGGGGATTGTCCCCCTTCCACATTTGCAGGTCCTATAATGGGTCTGGGCTTAATGGATCGGCCTATTAACGGCTGATGCCTGATGGTCCCGCAACTGTTTCCCCCTCCCCCCCCCACTTTTTGAAAATCGTCTGCCACTGGTGAGCAGGAGGACTGTTTAACTTGTTACCCTCGTTCATTTGTGTGTCCTCGGTCATTAGAAATGCCTTGAACATTCAATGTTTTGTGCCCAGCATCCATTGTCACAATTTGTCAGTAGTGTTTGTCCATTTTGCAGACATTTTCATCACAATGAATGTTTTCATTTTCAATTCAACAAGAAGGACTTACATATGGTTTCATATTCACAGCAATAGAAGCTATCTCCTTTTTTTTTTTAGCTGAATGCACTAGAGTCAGGAACACCAATGTCAGTGCGGTAAACAGTGTTTTCATTCCAGTCCCAGTTGATTCAACATGCAGACAGCCGTTTGCAGGAACCCTTCATCCTCCCTGACCTTTTTAAAACCCTAAGCCCCAGAGACATCAAGTACAGCCCTCCACCACCCAATTACTCCAGAGTAAAGCCATATGTTTTCTTCATGTAGGGCCTACATTGGACCATTAGCGCCCTGACCCTGACCAATGATTTGGGCTCATTCTGTCTTATTTGTGGAAGTCTCATTTCTGAAAATGTTCTGAACTTCTTCAGGCACTTGTAACCCTCTTGGTTTAACAAATGTTAAAAACGTCCAAAAATGAAGCCAATGGCATTTAGGTGTAGAAGGGCTGTTTTGCTGCAATTCTTCCTCCAACCCACAATGCCACATCGCCACCCTCACCCAACCCCTTCCATAAAATATTGTAAGAACAATCTCAGGGAAGTTTGAATTTTTTTTATTGCTCCTATCTCTGAAAATTTAACACATGTCAACGTGTACATTTCATGAGTCTTTTTTTTTTCTTCAAATTTTGTCCTTTACGCCACTGTTCCCACCAAAGAATTAACTTTTTTCTGCAAACGTTGGATGTATGTATATTATTGACAATGACAGGGTGACCAAAGTATTTCTCCCTGCCATATTTATTTTGGACACATTTAGGCCTGTGTTCCAGAAATGTCCAATTGATGTGTGTTGTTCATGGAGTATTTTTATGTATGTATACTATGTCAGGTATGATGTATGTGTACGCCAAATTCTCAAACTGTCAGTGGGTGATTGATAGTTGATACATTGTAAATATTCAATGAGATACATGAGAATGATAAATTAATGAAATTATAAACCTTGGAGATGTGGTTACATGTAAGCCCAGTGAAAGTCACGTACATTGTGCATGCATGCATGGTCATACACGTAACTGTGACTGCTAGATGTCACAAGTACAAATAAACACTCAACAAACAGCATTTGCAATGGACGTGTTGCCGGTGTGTGACTGGAGATTTTAACTTTCAGCACGTCATTGAGTGACTCACATCAGCAGAAGTACATGGCAGTCACGATTGTGTTGTTTATTTGAGCAGTAACAAAACCACTGTTTGAAAGTGAGCCTTTCCTGAACTTTGTAGTTATACTATTTGCAAAATTTCACTTCTTTACATTTGTGTTTTGTTGGTAGTGTAAACCGTCTTTGAGCAAACTTGAATTCGTTATGCTGATTGGCTGCTGCATAGTGTACGTTCTTGTACACATACATTTATACAACTGTTGATTAAAGAAGCTGTGTGTATTAAGTGGTAATATGCCGACTGCTGCGTGAAGTTTGTTGGGCAAGTTTGAAGAGAAATTCATCAACCCACAAAGGATTGATGAGCGGGGAAAATGTAATGCATCTTTACCTTGTATCCTTTACAACGATATGTTGCAAAAGGCATTGGCCTTGTAGAAGGCTGGACAGAGATGCATCACATTCTTCCAGAATTGCTCCACCAGTGCTCTGAAGATAAAAATGTGCAGGTGAAAAGTTGTGTAGATATTTGCACACTGCACACATGTTGTGAGAGAACGATGATGGATACTGTGGCTGACGAGCCGTTGCCCATCCCACTTCATGTATCAGTGTCCCTGGCAAAGCTAGATCTGGCCAGATAGATTGTGACCATCCTTCACTCACTAACATATTCATCATCTTCCTCCTGCCTTCTCCACCTCTTCCCCGACCATGGTGCAGGCTTCAGAAATCAGAAAGAACTCCGCTCAGGCTGAGGCCCTCAGAAATGTGGTACGTCTTGCGGGCATGTTCTAGTTACTGAGTTAGGAGGACTTAGTCACAGATTCTAGTGAGATCCTAGTTTTATAGTTACATGCAATTTCTACAGTTCAGTGAGACCTGCCCTACATGTATATGCTAGATGCCCTCAAAATCACTAAAAGTTCATCACTTTGTACATTTAAATGTTCCTTTGTCAACAAAATTGGAAGCAAAAGTTAACAAATCCACAGGATAATAAAAAGGTTCAAAACTGCAATCTCTTGATCCTGGAGGCAATGCCCCAATGGGGTCCTATCTTTGAACACAAATTCAATAATATCTGGTTTTCTTCTGCCCATGACTTTGATGCAGTGCACAAAAATCTCACATCGTATCAATCAGGAGGCTGCAAATCTTATTCAGAGGGGCAGTGTCTCAGGTTTTCTTTCCTGCCTTAATTATCTACATGTAAGGTGCTGAATACGTATTCACTGACTGCGGACAATATCTGCTGCAATCATCCATCCTTGGCAGAAGTTCATTACATTTCTTTGCCTTTAATTCACTCAAATTCACTCCTCACCTGATGCAAACTAACTTGGAATAGTGCAGAAATGTTGGGTTTACTTGGCAGATTCCAAAAAAGCAAGGTTCATTGACACTCAAGTCCTTGTGCCATCAAGGAGAGCCTTAAAAGTTATTTCAAACAAGATAACTTATGAGACAGAAAAGAGAAGAATATGGATGACTTTCTTCAAAAGGTACATGTATGACACATCTCAGTGTAATGAGTGTCACTTAAAATCCAGATTGGCTTGATGATTGTCCCTGATAATGCTTGGGTGGTGCAGCTACATCCTATAGGCAACCTCACAGGTCCAAGAATAAGAGTGATATATGAGGCAGATGACAGAAGGAATCACTAGGCATCTCACAAGTCTGATGACTTAGTCCTTCCCAGTTAACTTGAAAAACATTTCTGTTTCGACATTTGTTCATGCAGGTTCTCTTTTTTCTGTTCATTAGCTCATTTCTGTTTATTTGGACATTCCTGGTTGATATTTATTTTTTATTCCCCAATTTCCTTTTGATTGTCAGTGCTGTCCAATTAAGTTCTTTTATTTTTTCTGGTGTTTTGTTTGACCTTGCATGACATATCTATGTCATTAGTTGCTGGATTGTGTTAGGTACAGTGATGGATGTAGTCATTGGATCATTTTCTGTATTCATCTTTCATAAAGTTACATGATTGTTAATTAAGTGTGACAGTTTGTGCATGCTTTATTGTTTCTATATTTTGGATTCATTTCCAAGTTTTCATTTCCACTTTTCACCTTTTAAATCAAGTCTTCATTTGCCATTCTTGAAGTCTGTTTCTCATGTTTCTTCAACTGATTCAGAGTACATGTAGAATCTTTTGTGTCTTCACTAACGCATATTTTAGGGAAATTGTGTTAATTAGCATGTTACATTATTTAATCCTGATAAGTGCGATATGAAGAAATTTATGTTGAGTTGAAGAAAAAGGGGCTTGGTGACTCTTATATTGTTTGCTTTGTGACAGGGTACGTTACAGTGAAATACACATGTACTTTGCCGTCACAGATAAAGCTCCAATGTCAAACTGTGTAGTGTGATTTTTTTCCTGTCTCTTATTAATTTCTGTGTAATTCACTGTCAAGACATGTACACATTCTTGTGTATGGAAGGACAGAGGAATCTTGTCTTGCCTGTAATGTCCAAATATGGGTTCATTACACATGTATATGTGTGCAAGTAGCAGATGACTGCCCAGGATGTAGTATGTACAGCACATATACATGTACATGTACACTGTAGTCCACTCTTATTTCTTCAAAGCCAATCATTTTGCAGTGGAGCTGAGGCTAACCATATGCTGTGGGATTTTTGTCTGGGAATATCCACTCTTTTGCCAGCTCACTGTACTGGTAACAGGTCAATGGGAGGGCTGGGTATGGCTTGTGGGTCACTTGATCTGGTGGGGCTAAACTCATCAAGATGACTAGAAGCCTGTCCAAACAAAGTCTCCGAAGTGATGAATAGGGAAGGGGATGTGGGTGATATATATGTACGTACATAAGCCCTGACAGGTGCCCTGCTCTGTGGTTTAAGTAGGGTGTTGAGAGGTACTGTAGGTCTTGGGCAAGGAGGTAGGGTCTTGGGGTTCTCAGGAACACCACAGCAGGGTTCATGTTGTTGCTCTGCTCAGCACCGAATTCTGCACTTACATGTATCACTTATTACGTGCTTACAGCACCAGCAGAATGGTCACCCTGTAAGTACATACATGTAATCCTTGCTTCTTTGTTTAGGCACAGGTGTGTACATGATGCACACATGTTGTGTCAGCAGGGAATTTTGTACAACATGTACATTGTGTACATTGTAGTGTACATACATGTACAGCAAGCCAAGATTGTTTGTTTCTTTGCAAAAGGACAAGAAATTGGACCCAACTCCAGGTGAACCTTTGTTATTTGTCCTTATATATTACTGTTGTTAAATTTTGTGAACAGTTCACAAAACTGCGCAATTTCCTGAATCGTGATGAATGAGTGATATTGTTGCAGTCGTACAATGTAAACCATGCATTTATAAACCCTTTGCACAATTTAGTGAATTATTTTTTCCATTTTGGAAGAAAATCATTTGCACCATTTAGGAAATGGAATAATTAAAAGGAATAGACCGATTGCGCCTGTTAAATCATGTGACTTATAGTGGGTTTTAACCCCATAACAACGTCTGTTTTGAGCCTGTTGTTTACAAAGTATACAGCTAGGTTACGGTTTGGTCCCCTCCCTTCTCCATTGTACCTAGTACATGCACATCTGTAGTCTGAGTACGGTACCTACCGTCTGCATTATTTTTGGTAAATGATACTTATGAAGCACTTTGCTTTTGGTGAACATCATGTTTGTTGATATTTAATACCCACTATAGGTCACATGACTTAGCGGGTGCAATCGGTCTATTGTCTTTCTGGTCTAATTGTGCAAGGAATGGAGTTTTAAAATTAAAAGGTCGTGTGTTCAGTTGCCGAATGCTGTGCTTGTTTGGCCTTAGTCTTGGAAAGATGGACTCTGAGGTGGAATTTCGAATGGCAGGAGAGAGGCAGTAATGGTACAACTACTTGCATGTACCCGATAGTAGTCAGAGATCAGTAGCTGGCAAATTTTTCAATGTCCCAGCAGGGAACAGGTTGTATTGCTCACCAAGTCCTTCTCATGGAGTCAGGTGACTGGCTTGCAAGTAACACTCCCCCCCCCTTTACCTGGCAATCACCTGGCTCACTAGTCTGATGCCAGCTCTCTGCCTTGCTAATCTGGTATGAGATCTCCAACTTCTTGACAAGGCTGCCTGTCAAAACACCTTGCCAGGTAAGGCAATACAAGCTGAGAGATTGGTGGAACCTGAGATCACAGGACAACAGTGCCAAGTGCACGGTGGGAAAGTGCTTTGTGCCCGACTTATTTGACTTTTCTCTTTTTCTGACAGGAGCGCAAACAGCTTCGGATGGTTGGTTAAAAAATAAAATGAACATACTCCATGCATATGTGCTAAGGCTGGATTAATTCAAATAATTCAATACATGTACTTGAATGTTTGAAATTGAACCTCAAATGTTCAGTATTTGAATGATTGAATTTCATATATTAATTTTTCCCTGCAAGTTTTTCAGTTGACAAATTAATAAGTGGCAGTTGCAACAAATGTAGAAAACTAAACTACATATTATCAGCATGGTGACATTTAATTTTTCTTGAACAATTAGTCAACTACATGTACCACTGGTAATGAAAATAATGAGAAATCTGAAAATTATAATCCTGGTATCAAACTCTTTGGTCAAGTCTTATTCTCAGTGAATATTTAGAAGTATTCAAATATTTAGTATTCAACTAATCACATTGTTCCAATATTTGGCTGGGCTTACCTGTACTTATCGAATACACCTGAAAAATGCACTATTGTAGTTGGCTGCTGGAGTATTAAAACAGCAAAAAATTGAAACATGAAAAAATTACTAGATTCAGCATCTACATATTTGTAAATCACTCTCTCCATAGTTAATGTTTGCTGAACAGAAATCACAAAGTGTTATGACTTGTATTTTTTACATTTTTACATTGAACTTGATTCAACAAACAATTAAAACTGGCTTTAAAGATGACACCAACAAGGACTGTGCAGAATTGGATGCATCGATTTTGTCCATCCTTGTACATGCACCTGTATTACAGCAATAAGTATTGATATTTCCTCTTTCCCCTTGTGTCCTCCACCTAACCATCCACTCTCCCCTCAGCAAGGCCAGATAAGAATCCCTTCTGTAGATTACATCAGCAGCAATGGGTATCTGTTAAAACTACCCAGGAAGAAGAAACTCAAATTCATTTGAGTGTATTCTCTCCCCTCCCCCCTCTCCCCCCAGTCTCTCCCCCTAGCCTCAGGGGACAATTAGCCCAGTTGGTCTTGTAGGCTAAGGTAATATGGCAGTGCACTTTAATGTACACAGTGAAGGATTTGTTTCTACCAACAAGTTCATGTACATGTATGTACCAGTACGTCCATTTGTTGCTCCTTGCTTGTATGGCTGCTCTGAAGGGACATCAAATGGCCACAAAAGCTCTTTCATGGCATTGCAAATTGGGTTATACCGGTTGTCTGTTTTACAGACGTCAGTTTTTGTAGACATTTATCCGAAGGTGGACTGTAGGGTGAAATAAGAAGAGATGGTTGGAGCATGGTTGGAGCAACTGGCCAGCCTCGTTGAATCTAACCAAGTTTAGTTATTTACATATTACTTGAAAGGAACTTGCACCCCTTAATAATGTAAAATCAAATCTTGACTAATATTTAATTAAATGTTAATAGTCCCTCACTTAAACCCTTCCCCTTGAAAAAGTTTGCAATGTCCTTAAAAGTATCCTGATGCTGAAGGAGAAAGAAGAGCTTATAGGCCTACATTTACTTCGCCATGTATCGTTTCTAGTAATACTTAATTACTGGTACATGTATGTTTGTATTGTATTTGCAATTAAATTTGTAGTAATAATGAATCAAGTAGTTTCTTTTTGGTAATTGTATAATGTGTTTTTCATAGGTTCTCTTTCTTTCTTGGAGACTCTGAATGAGTCATTTTTCTTTTCTTGCTACTTGAAATAGGAAGCCTGGTTGGGCTAAAGAAGTCATGGAAGCCTAAAATCAATTGTTGGTGCACATTGTTGTTTTTCACTGCAAATCCAGGCAAGATCAAGGAGCATGTACACTGCATACCCTGAAGGCTAGGGGTGATGGGGAGCCAGCAGTATTTATCTAGTGGAGCCTGCTGTCTGGTTTATACTCAAGACAAACTCTAACCTCTCCAAGGGGGGAAAACTGGGAAGCCAACCACAGAATTCAGCTCCAGGCTGTTGTTCTAATCTAAGACTTCTTACCAGACTAAAAAAAGAAATGAAAAAAGTCATATTTTGAGTTGATTTGTGTCATATCAAGTTCAAAATGGAATGCTGCCCAACTTCCAAGTATTTTGAAAATGGACTCTTAGTGCCTTGTGGTTTTAGCCAGCAGATGGGAACAGCACTGGCTCCAGGATTTGTGAGAAAGGGATAGCTGTAGTTAAGGTTCGGAAGCCAACAGAGACCCACAGAGACTTTGTCCTGTATATGTCAGGTTTACGTGCCATTTTACATTTTGTTCATAAAAGTAACTCTCTGGGACCGGATAAAATGAACCTAAAATGGCAGTTTTAGTTTTGGTTAAAGATTAGTGGAAGGTGACATTTTTAGAATTTATTGGTAATCTAATGTGAAAATCTTAAAATCCTTAAGCCTACAGTTGAAAAGAAAATATATTTAGAGGTTGTCTGGTCTGTACATGTACAAAATGTACATACACACGTACAGTGTTCATGTGATTAATTTCTCCAATTGCCTGGCTTTCAAAGAATGAGAACATTGCACTTTTGCATCCTAGCATCATAACATTATCTTCTCTTGAAAGTGCAACAGCTACATGTACATGTAAACCCCAGCTTCTTCAGCAGTGGGTCATTTAAGAACACTGCCAGCCTGTTTTCACCTCATGCTGCCCTTCCCTGATGATAAGTGCCATACACTGTGCTACTGTCCGGGGGAAGCAGCTCAGTGAAATCCAATGTTGCTCCACATTCAGTGCCTGCAAGCCGGTAGAACAAACATATTTGCTTAATATTAAGTGACGAGCGTGCTTAATAAGTTTCATCATGGCTCGTTCCTGGCGCATCGTAATTAAAGTCCCGTGAGTTGTTGTCTCAACACTCAGATGATGGGGAGGGGGAGATTGGTAGGGAGAAAGAAATGGTTCTTTGGCAATGCTCCTACTGGGTTTCCCTTGGGGATTTCTTCAAGCTAGGTTGGGACAGTGCCAGACTGGAAACAAAGGAGATTATGTACTTTAATATTTGGAGTGGGGGCTTTTGTTTGGCCAGAAATCACGAGTGCTGTCACAAACAATCAGTGGCTGAGGCGCTGCACTATTTCATAGGTAATTGAAACACTCGACACAGTGATCATTACATGCTTGCTGCTGTACAGTTACATTGTGGATTTGTGAACAAGGCCTAGCATCAGAGTCACAGAGCTTTTTTAAAGTTAAAATGGATGAAATGTTCGCCTAGTTTATCTTCTGATAATTCACAGGGCTGATTGGATGGAAGACACTCTGAATTATGGAGAGGGAAATGCAAATGGACCATCCTTTATCCTTCCTTGATAATAAATCACAATACCAAATCGTGTTTCACAAGTCAAGAATGCACTAGGGCCGAGTCAATTCGAATAATTGACTTCGAATATACTTAAACAACCTTCAATTCAATGGGAATATTTGAATATTTGGATGTAGCTGGCTGGCAGATTGTTGCTGAACAAACCATATACAAAATCAGTCGCAATAACACAGCCAATTGTACATTACAATCACTATAAAAGCTACTCACTTTTAGGATTATTATATTAGGACGATTTAATAATATGGTTACAATTAAAAAAATGTCTCCGACACCACAATTTGTGGTTGCTGACAGACTGCTTACAACTTCATCTGATGCAGCCATCTTCTTCTTCAGACCTCCAGTCATTCGATTTCAAGTTGAAAAATTTACATCAAGGTTTCATCATATATTCTTTCAACAAAGTTTGCATCACTGCATCATTATCACAACGAATACTATCATGGGACATTCATATTTGTTTTAAAAAAGCTATTTTCATATTTTAGGATGGATTTTGTATTAGACTGTTGGCCATATCAGCTGCCTGGAATCTGCTTGAAACAAGCCTCCATACTGCAATTTAAATACAAACAAAAACAAATTCTCTCTTCTCTTTGAATGCGAATATTTGGATATTCGGCATAGCCTCAGAATGCATGATCAAGTTTGATATATTTGGGTAAAGTTCATCTTGATTGGCATGGGATTATTCTGGTTCTCCAGGTGAGATTGTTATTAGCCTAGCATTTTAAGCACAGTGCTTTCTAAGTAACAAATACTGTGATTCTTGACCAAGTCTACGGATCCATAAAAACACAATAAATGCCTTTTTACGCTTGCCAACAAGGCATACATGTACTACTGTTTAAATTGCTACTGGCTTGTACAGTGCCGGTGAGTCTGCTTTAATTTTGAACTCTCCACTATGGCTGAATTTTGTTGTGTGCAAATTCAAGTAAAACCATGTCGGATTGTTGTGTGGGAGGTTGCCAAAATCTCAGTTTCCAACAGGTAGATTTTCGATGAATTTGCTTCTCCTCCTGGAGTTAGAGAGTAAGAATGTGTGCAAATCTGTGTGCAGCTTGGAATTGTGTCACTGTATCAGCAAAAAGGTGGGAGGTGAGAAAAACTATACACATACTGTATATGTAGGTCACCAAAATGCTTTTCATCGCAAGAATACTTCAGAAAAGGTTTAAGTAGCCTGGCTGGAGTATGAAAGCTGTTGGGATTTGTATGTTGCAGTCTTTAGAGGCTTTGTTTGGTATTTCATATTTCTTTTAATAGTGGTGTGTCTTAACTATAATTGCCCTTTCTCTATTGGGAGACAACATTCCTCTGTAATATTTTCATGTTGGTTTCTGTGGTTCTTTGACATTTTGTGTTTTTGGTTGTTTTTATTTTCCTGTGGTTTTCATCCTCTTCATTTTAATCACTGGCTGTATTTCACATAGCGTACATGTTTCAAGTACATATGTACATGTAGCATTGATTTTAACTCATTAATTTACATACATTGCCTGAATATGTATAGTTTTAGCTATACATGTAAATGTACCTGTATATAAATCCATGAAAAGTTGTAAACATGCCTGCTATCAAAATTTATGTTTTCCTTCTGGTAATGAAATACTAATGCTTCACAGTGTTTATTTGCACTTACATGTACATGTACATGTATGTTTGCTTTGGATTTAGTTTTGGGTTGGATTTTGAATGCTTGAGAATTTTGGAAATGATTTCTAGTGAAATAACTTTGGCTGATAAAATAAATGAAAGACTCCTTTCAGGTTTAATATGCAGTGTTTATGTGTTTTTTTAATTTACGGGTTTGGGTTGAATTTGGAACCTTGAGCTTCTTAAATTGGAAACCATGAGAGGTAAGAAGTCAAACAGCACTGAAATTATATACATATAGCACAGATTCCCAAATTTAGTTGTAATATCTGTCAAGCACTCATTGTATATGTAACTCACCCCCAGATGACTGCCATGGGAACACGGCTTTGTCATTTCAGGGTACTGCAGTTAGGCCATTGTCTGATTGTAAATTTTTGTCCTCCCTGTTCAGGTTCAGCGGGAGCGTGAGTTCAAGACCAAGATGATCAAGAACCACATTGGGCAGTGCAGCAGCAAACTGAAGCAGACCACTGGCCTGCTGGAATACGCCATAGAGGTCATGAAGGAGCAGGATCCTGCAGCCTTCTTGATGGTAATGGGATGAGGGGGGGCAGTATTCAGAAATGGAACCCCTGTTGTGTGTAGTGCTGTGTCTGAAGGTTGTGGCTGTGGCTGAAAGTAACATGTGCACCTACATGTATGGCTAGCTGCTCCAGTGGCTTCCCATTGACACATGTATACTCTTAGGCACAGCCAGGTGATGCTTTGGAGAGAGTGGAGGGATGCTTCAGATACTACACCTCAGTGTTGTAGTCCATTCTTTCACAATGTGCCTTTGAGCAGAAGCACTACCTCGTCGGTTGAAAGAGCCATGTCGGTGGGGAGTGTTCATTTTGTTGGTACTGATGAGACTGTAACGTGCATATTTCATAGTAATTTGTGAGCCAGCCAAGTGCAATTCCCACTGAAGGAGCCTCTGTTATGAGGAAAATTGCACCCTCTCTTGGTTTCGCTCAGTCAGAAACATCAGAAAGCCACAGAATGCAACATACAAGTTTTAGCAACCAACTCTTTGCTTAAAATATTGTTGTACGTGGGTGTTCAAGACATGCACAGAAAAGATACTTCATTCCTTGGACTAGGAAAAAGGAACTAGATTTTACAATTTTTCTGCAACTTTGTCCTGGAAATAACCTTCTATAGCTTAAATTTGTTGTATGTTTGAAAGACCTATTTTCAAGAAAACCTGCATCTACCCTAGAATAACCCCAGAACGTAATCAGTGTGCTGTCGATTCTGTTCCCTCAAATTGCAGATTTTGGGGAAATGTGATGAGTGGTTATTAATGGAAACTGGGCCAATGGCAAAAGGAGTAGACACTGTGCAATCACAGCCGGCCCCAGGGAACTTCCAACAACATGAGCCCGCTCCGCAGTCATGATTGATTTCAGCGTGCAAATTAAAGGCCCAAAATAGCCTTCAAAGTCCCCACAACTGCATATTATGTGCTCTAAAGATAGCGTGAACGAAAAACTGAGGGGGTCAACGACTGAGGCGGCTGATTGTGTTTCTCACCGCTGAACTGGTTTCCCGTAAATGACTCGATTGAGAATGAATATATTTGGAGGCACATTGTGAGCCATCGCATGAAAGGGAGACAGAAGTTGCAAACTTGAAATGTTTTTGCAGACTGGTTGGACTGGGAGGATGTTTAATATAAAATTTGATAACAAAGAACAAGCCTTTGTGCATGTACTCATCCGATAGCTGCAGGGTCTCTCTTGTTGAAACATGAAACCTAGTCTTTTTTGCACATCGAAACGAATCATGGCAACAAAAAAGTAAACTGACCCAGTGAACAAAAGTGTTCCATTTTTTACCCTGGTGCACCAAAAAAGTTGTGTTTTCACCCAGAAAGTTGCATCTAGAATGGCTCGATACAGTATTATTAAAGTCTTCCTGGTCTCTTGAGAGACACTTTTATATCATACCAAGGATTTGGTGATCAAAGATGGGGGAAAGACACGATAGAAGCTCCTTATCTGTTGTCTATTAGACTGAAGAAATTTGCTGAAACAAATAGTGGCAAAGAATGTTCAGTGAATAGTGATGGGCATGTCAGAGAGATGTGCAGTTGTCGAATGCACAGGATTAGGCACAGATCTCAGACTTTCTGGTTTCAATTTCATGGGGCGCTTTTAGGCCGAGAAAAGCGCTGAGAAGATTGATGTGCTCGGCAAAAATCAGCTGTGAACCAGCCAAAGACATTAATGTGCATTAATGTTTGTGGCCAAGTGGATGTTCTCTGCGCTTACTAGCAAGCAGCACCAAGAAATTGGCCTCATTGCAATTATAAAGAAATATATGTATTTATATACATTGCGCAATGAAATTGTACATGATACTGTGCGACCTGCTTACTAGTAACAAGGAAGGACATTGTGGGGATATGTATGCTTGTGCACAGAATGTTCGTAGCCAATTTTCAACTGAATGGACACAAACAAGTGGGGTCTTCTCATGAGAGGAATGGACCTGCATAAGTTCTACTCTGGCTTCCATCAATAAGCACTATGCCACATATTTTCTACCACCGGAATAATGCTACACATTGCATCCAGAAACCACAATCAACTTAAACCCATCAAATCAAATACAAATAGAATATGCATACAACAGTGTTCTCATGATAAATGAACGGAATTCTGCACAGCCAAAAAATGTTGATCAAAAACCTGTCAGGTTTTTAGTTGTCTTCCCTTGGGGCATATTTGGGAGGGGGGGGGCTGGGGGAATGGAGAGAAGTGACTCATGTATACATTCAGCAATAAATCTGTGCCACCATTCACATTGCCCCAGTTGCTTCTTTTTCAGTCTTACCAGATGGGATATTCTGGTATTGAAACATGGGTAGGACAGATTCATGTTCCGTTTGGGTTATCTCGGCATGTGTGATATATCACTGCGGTTGTCATGGTGATATGACTGATGCCTGAGCAAACAGCGGCATTGCATTACTACATCGGGAACTTGCCATACACCAGCAATTCACGTTTGTGCACATACCAATGGAATCCTTTGAAATTGTCTATTCCATACTGGTATTTTGTTCTAATCGTTACGTCCCAAACTACAACACAATTGGTGTATGTATCAACATTGCAGTGTGCTATGCTCAAATAATGACACACGTGTCCAAATATGCTGCAGGTGTATTTTATCATGAATTTTCATCCAAGCACAGTATGTGTATATTTCACCCATGTCTTAGAAACAGTTACATGTGTACATAGCAAATAAGTCAGAATTCCATTCCATCTTATTTAATATGTTCTACAAAGTATAAACACGCACTAAAATTGTTCTCTCCCAGACTATGTCAAGTATTCTTAAGTTTGGGAATGCAGTTATTACTGTAGTAACTTACTAAAGTTCTGTGCGCCTGTGTAATATATTTACACAAGCATTTTTTGGCACTACAATTCTATTCAGGCGTCACTTTTTACTATATATTTAGTAGAGGGGATGATGTACAATATTGTGCACATGAGAAATGAATGATTGGATTCCAGATGTTGGTCACACTGAAAATCTGCAATCACATCTGCATCTTGCTATGTGTATATTGTCTTGTGTACCACGAAATCCAAATGTACTTTACAGATATATTAACCAAGAAATCTTAATGCTGATACCTGGAAATTTTGGAAACCTACTTGCAGAGGGAATGGGTGACACCCACCTCCCTGACACATATGGAATATATTTTGAAGGTTTTTGAAATGTTAAAGACTTCCATCAAAATGCTTTGGGAAGAAACTGACTAAAACCCTCCTTTTTCCCCAACTTGCTTGCTGTCAAGTCCCATTGAAAATAAAATATGGCTGTGCCAGAAGAACATATGTGTAGACAATTTTAACAACTCTCAAAAAATGGGCACGTCGGTAAAAGAAATAAACTTACCAGTTTCTAGACAGTCTTGTTTTATTTATCAAGAGCTAAAGAGCTTTGGAAAATTGCAAACAGAGCAGAGAAAGTCACAATCAAACACTCTGGCCTCTCTCTGTCAACAGTTTCCCATTCCATTTGAAATTATTTTCTGCCACTCTCAACGTTAGCCTGCCATTTCCGCAGGTGTCTGGTGCTCTGATCAACCGCGTTCGCCACACCGAAGTCTCCTGGAAGAAGGAGATGATCCTGGAGCACCGGGTGGATGCCGAGTTTGACCTGACGCTGGACAGTGGGCCCGTTCTGAGGGCCATTGAGCGACTCAACTTCAAAGAGATGAAAGGTAATGTTTAATCCAGGACAGGAAGCAGAAATTCTCCTGCCAGGAAAAGGCAACGCTGAGAAAATATTTGAACTCTAGACATCCAGCATTCATCAAAGGGAGATCCTGTCTTTTGGTAGTTTTCCATTTATTCACATGCCTTCTGCCAGTGTTTTAGTCAAGTCCATTATTCACAAAACCCTTCATAAGTCCAGTCAAGTTCTTTTCCCAAGACCAGTAACAGGGTCAAGAGTGACTAAAGAATGCTGTTGTCACTTGAATAGCTTGTGACTTGACTTAAGAATTGATAACTTGTGCTGGATATGTGGGGACTTGCACAGCTGCCTCATACATCTGCAAGCAAATTCTAAGATATACTATAAATCATCCAGTTCTTCCTATACTCTGCCTTACGCTGGGATTGTATACAATGTACAGCTGTATGTTTCCCAATTTCAAAGAAGCTCACTGTTCAAGTTAAAGTGTAACTTGCTGGGATTAAGTGGTGCACATTACCTTTTATTTTTAAAACCTAGTGCCTGACCCCCCCATCATCGTCACAGAAAATTGCAGCGCCGAGAACAATAGTGTGACCCTAGCCTGGCAGCCATACCCATCCAGCTGGGTGGAAGGCTATGTGCTGGAGCTTGACGATGGAAACAACGGGGAGTTCAGGGTAGGTATACAACAGGTATACAACAAGGGTGGTTTGTTTATCTAAATATTGAAGCCGGTTGCTCTGGTTTTAAGTCTGCTTGACTTTTCGAAAGATTGTAGATTTCGTGGGTAGTTAGCCCTTCATGTTTCTCAAAGTGTAACTTACAGTATTATTTATACAAAATCCAAATACATGTACATTTTCACCATGGGCATTGCCAGGGGATGGGCCATGGGGATACTTGCCCCTCCCAGCAAAAAAATGAAGAAAAAAAAGAAACAGGGAAAAAAGTGAAAGATTTGAGAAAAGAAAAGGGTGAAAGGGTATGAAAGGACGAAGGGGGTGTATCTCGATCACATGTCAGTGATGTGTTTGGTATATTCAACAGTGAGACCATTTAATACATGTGTATTAAATGTACCATTGAACCACGTGCATACACAAGCAGACAATTTGCTGCAGCTTCTCACACAAGCAAAGAACACTCTACCCCAGTTGGGTGGGTAAAGTGCTTGCGGGTTTCCTCACACTAGCAGACGCAATTTTCAGTCGCAACTCGGAACGTGAAAACTTGAGTCACATCCTGAGAAAGTAAAACACAGAGGATCAACCTTGCTTTGAATACATCAGTCATTTGCATGAACTATATGATAAGATTTTACTGATCTCTTAAGAGGAGTAGCTGGATATTGCATCTCATTTATGTAGGCTACAGGAATGTGTATACGTTGTTCTACTTTGTGGGATACATTTACGTGTACATGTATGTGTTGCATTGGATACAGAACAACAAAGCTGCCACATCCGAATGAATAGTGTTCACTGTTAAGGTACAAAGTTTAATGAAGGGAAATGGGTACAGTTTTTTCATGCAAAGTAAAATCGGCTCTTGCCAAACAGGTGAAAGGCCTAAGTGATTAAGCATCCCTCTTGGAAAGGCTTAATGTATTTGTTTTTCAGTGGAATGGGGATAACTAGGCAAAGACTGCCGGCTAATGGCTCATTTCTGATTGGGTAATGGGCCGTTTAGAATGGTGATTTATCTGGCTGTGTTTGTATTTGCTGAGGAGCCACATGAGGTCCTTAGGTGGTGTATGATGCAACGTTCTTTGTGCACCATATTTGGATGAGCCAGACATCTTTAATTCCAAGTTGGGAGGCATTTTGGAGCTTGAGCCATGAGTACGTGAAGGTGGCTGATTGGGGCTGAGTGTGTTGCAGATGCAGCTAAACTTGACAACTGTGCTGCAACTTATGGCCAAAAATACTGTTTAACACTTTCAGTTATACCTTCAGAATTGCTTTTTGTTATCCGTGGATGTCCAAAATATTTTCGGAATAAGTTCAAGAATATAAACTATATGTAGTTAGACTTCCTTGCTCTTGAAGCATTAATATGCATTCATAAATACCTTAGACAGTTTCCCTATTCAACAACGCACAACGTTATATTTGATAATGCCCTCTGCGATTTGATAATGCCTGCTGCATAAAAACGTGCTGACTCCTGGAGACAAGACAGTATTAATCCATTCCTATTAGTCAAGAGTCTGTGTGCACCACGGCATGCAGAAGTCACCGCGTGCACCAAGTCCATATAAGGAGATTGTTCTTGACTATTTGCGCAAGGAATATACCATAAAATGGATACGGGTGTTCTGGAAAATGAAAGTAAAGTTCTTGATCAAACTCCTTGGAAATTTGTTGTATATTGACTTCTTTTGACTTTCTGATGTAAAGGGTATTTATGAACGGGAATGAATGCTTGGTTTGTCTTAAATTAACTAATAATAATAATGCCCTCCCCTGCAGCTTGAGCATTAGTCGCATCCATTCTCCTGAGCTTGTCTTAAATGACCGTTTAAGACTGGCCAAGCACACATTTATTCCCTCATTGGTCCCCACTGTTAATTGTTACAACAACATCAATGCTCCGTCCATGGATTATTTTAAGAACCTTCTTTATATTAACCCTTCCCATGAAATAAGTTGGCTCTTGCCTTGCTCTTGTGCTTTCAATTGTGGTTTTTCCTATCTTGTTGGTACATGGGAACCTCACTGTGATGTTAACTGAATAAGAAATACTCACTGCTAGTATACTGGAAACAGATGAATTGTAGGAACCAACAAAGGGTGCCCCCTTTGGAGAACCCTGGCCCCCCATGAAAATGGAAGAACACTTAGCTAACACTTTCCTCAGTGGAGCTCATAATGATACGTGTAGTTGAATACCCAACTTCTACATGTAACTTCAAGGAGTAGAAATATTATTGAGACTCAGGCTATCATTAGAGGGATCTTTCACTGTTTTTGTCCATTTTCCTACAACCGGTCTACACTGTGACAAACTGTGCTCCACCAAACACACTACTAATGCCAGCACCTTGTTGAGGAGAAATGGGGGGCGAGGGAAATTGATCGAGATTGGAGAAGCCTTAGTGTGCCTCTAATCTCGAGAGGCTGTGGTGTGCCTTCACAATATTTCAGATCTTTGCGGTAATCATTGTACAATGTGTGGTCCCCGCAACTATGGAACAAGCATTGTGTACACACATGCAGACAGACACATACAAACATCTTGACACAGACATTTGAGTAGTGGAGTCAGACAGATCGTAGTGTCAACCTATACAACCATTGAGGATTCAAGTACTACTTGAGTGTCATGTATGTGAAATTAAGAGCATTCATTTCACAAGTGGATGGTACATATGTGTAAGTAGTTATTAGCCTGTTTATTCTTTTCTTACTGTTGAATCATATGCATACTTGTGCATTTCTCTGCATGCTCCCAGGAAGTGTACTATGGTCGGGAGACAATATGCACAGTTGACGGACTCCACTTTGACACCACATACAACGCCCGGATCAAAGCCTACAATCACGCTGGTGAAGGCGACTACAGCGAGACCATCTGTCTTCAGACAGCAGAAGGTAAAGTGAATATTCATTTCTTTATTGAGGGTGGAACTTTTTTTGCAATGAAGAGGAAAGCACATCCTAAGATCATTGAAAATAATAATATTGTTGCAAATTTTGTTGAAAACAGCCCGCAAATTTTTTTTCGGGAAATAGTGTTCCAAATTAGTGCTTACTTCACTGCAGTTCCATTTTTCCCCCTAAGCATTACTGTTTCACATGTTGGGGGCTACACAGGTTTTGCTACACAGCAATCATGCTGGTGAAAGAGATTATAATGAGGACAATTTGTCACTAGACAGGAAATGGGAAAACCAGCTGTCCACATATTCATGTAATGACGTTTTTATAGGAAGGGGGTCTTCAAGTCACATTTTGAAAATATCAGGCAGAGTTTCTCCGAGTTGTTGAAACTGTATTCAATCTCTTTTTGCTGAATGTTGACTGCAGAGGCAAAAACAACCATCAACATTTGGGCAGATATTGTCATCCTGTGTTCAAGCATTTTACGATGACTGTCCTGGACAAGCAGGGAACTGTTGTAACAGCCCCGTGACCCATCAAACTTGTTAGGCTATTTAAACTAATTCCTAATTTGGATGTTGCTTCTTGTACATGTTGTTTTGCTTGATAGACTCTGTTCTAGAGTTGCACAAGCATCCGTGTAATTCGAATGCACTTCCATATACTATAGCCTGTGTCCATATTTTACGGCTAGGGCTGGAAATAACCCATATACCTAGAGAAGCCCTAGGCACTGGCTATAGTCACTTCTCATAGACATGCCGTTACAGACACACGTATATCACTGCTAGCAGTACACAGCCATTGATTCAGACATGCCCACAGTCATCATTTCCCTCACCTTGATCCCCTCAGAAGAACATCGGCTGGAAAACGAGACTAGTAAGAGCCAAGTTTAGTTACAGTTGTGAACCACTGGCTGATGCACAAAATACAGTACAATATATTCTGGGTAAAATTCAACCTCTTAACTCGATTTTTATTACCAACAACCTGACATTCAAGTATGTACCGCTACACTGTCTATAATGTAATCGTCTCACACAGATCACAGTTTCATGTCTTTCTGCTCATCGGAAGTATCAGTTGCTGGAAGACATTTAAACTCTTGGACATCTGTTTATATTTCAGTGGCTTGGTTTCAGCCGGACCCACGTTCTGCCCACCCGGACATCATCTTCACCAATGATAACATGACAGTGACTTGCAACACCTATGACGAGCGCGTCACCCTGGGCAACGTGGGCTTCTCCAAAGGGGTGCATTACTGGGAGATCACCATTGACCGCTATGACAACCACCCAGACCCGGCCTTTGGTGTGGCCCGCTTCAACACAGCCCGGGACGCCATGCTGGGCAAGGACGACAAGTCCTGGTCCATGTACGTGGACAACAATCGCAGCTGGTTCATCCACAGCAATGCCCACTCAGACCGGACAGAGGGTGGGATCGACGTCGGGTCAGTGGTGGGCGTGCTGCTGGACCTGAACAAGCAGACGCTGCGATTCTACATCAACGACTGCAAGCAGGGGCCTGTGGCCTTCACAGGCCTGGCGGGCATCTTCTACCCAGCCATCAGCCTGAATCGCAACACACAGGTGACCTTTCACCCTGGATTAGAAATCCCGGCTGACTGTGATTAATGCATGAGTTACACCTTGGGCAGGTAAAACATGCTACGGTTGGATTTCATCAGAACTTTGCTTGTTATGTCAGTTGGCTCTTTATTTTTTTTTGATCTGATGGATAACTTGCTTACGGCTGAGCCACAGGTGAACCTTTAGTAATGTTTCCAGCCAACAAGCCTGCTTTAGGGGCTGCAGGGGGCGGTTTTTTTGTGCAAATTCTTTAACTTTGCAATTTATTTCTGGTGCCCATGAAATATGTAGGGAGGCCCAACCCTTGAATTTTGGCATCAGTTTTTTCATCCTTTTCTCCCTGAGTTGTCTGTTCAGCCGTTTTTCAACTGCCCTGGTAAAAATTATGGCGCATATAGGTGTCACCTGTGGCCATGTGTGTTCTTTGCTAAGTGTGGTTTCGCTTCCTAGCAAATCGGTTTATCCAAAGGTATTTATGGTGTGGGCTCCCCACTTCAATTCTAATAACTCAAGATAGGCATTTCTGGATTATTTGGGGTTGGCGGATCACTTAGTAGCAGCGTCCTCGTGTCGGATCGTTTTCTGCGCTTTAACCCAACCAAGCATGATGCGTCAATACGTCAACCCTGGAAGTGAAAAAAGAATTCTTAAACGAGTGCTCACGTCCTCCGTGAAACAAATAAGGAAATTTGAGTGTTTACACGTTATCTGGCTTCAAGTGGTTGAAATTATGCGACCTGTCTAACTTGCAGTAGTGTATTGGTCAGTAACAAATAGTCCACTAGTTCTGCAGAAGTATCTTTGAGAAGACCGTGCTCATGGACCTACTGTCATTTACCAGTGTTGAATTTTAGGATGCACACGTTTTCAATTGGGTACCGAAAACACATTAGATTTAGCTTGTACATAAGCTTTGTACGTGTCATCTCCAGAACGAAAACTTTTGCACAGATTAAGGTATGCACATGTATGGCTGTAGCTTGAAGTATGTACTTTTCAGCCTCCACTAAAAAGTACTAACTAAACAGATATTTCTTTATTTTTCAGGACTTTTATCATTATCTTTCCTACAAAAATATTTGGAGAAACCCTGTGGGTGTTTATGCTGGTGCCACATTGGCCTGTGCACAAGTGTGGTTCCATGGCATGGGTTATTCAACGGTTTAAAATCCTATAGGTGGTTTCTGAAAGATTTTGAAGGATTTAGGAAGGTTCCCTTTCACATTTACTTGGCTTCAGATCTAATGTTCCTTCAAATATGCCACTGGATAGTGCAGTACTGCACAGTGGGGAATTTTGGAGGTTTGAGAAAGTGCTTGGTGAGACTAGTGTACTTAATGGGTAAGGTTGTATGAAACTCTGCATATTGTGCACATTGAAGTAAAGTGACAGTAGTCATTTAGTGAGTGATTTCTGAACAAGTTTATTTACAGTCTGTGGGAAAGGGAGGCTTTGAGATAAAGTTAAGTTTCCTATTTCAGCTCTCTAAAACTTTAACATCCTTAAATTGCCTTAGGGTTAAGCGAGTTGTCAGTCCACCGTGTGACTCTTGTATACATGTCTGTAGTGCTACAGACACAAGTGGACAACAGATATTCTACATGGAGAGGTACATGTACATGTAGTCAGTTTTAGAATGTTGCGAAATATAGTTGAGTGTATTTGGCTCATTGTACCATTAACTTGTGTATATTTATTATTTATCAAAAATAGGTTCTTACTGATCAAAAATAGTCATCTTACGAAGTCTTATATATTTATAAGCTCAGTACATAATGTACAGTTATTTATAAATGCTTAAAGGAGATATTTGACCACGTACTGTGTCAGAGAAATGATTACAGTTTATAGTGTACCAGTGTGCTAAAAATGCCTATGCTTACTGTAGTGTAATTGAAGTGTTCATATTTTTCTTAGTTTTTTTTTTTCATCTGAAATAGGTAGAATACTTGCCTGATAGGTTTTTCAGATTAGAGTTTAGCCTGTTTGCTTTTTATGCAACCCAATATTTAGATCAGCACTTGATATCAGCCTGAATGTTTAGCATTGAGCATTGATGTTTTATCCATCGCTAGGGAACCTGTTGTACTCATTTGTATAGACAATCAAGGTATTCGTGTATGGGAGTTTGTTTCTGCATTCAATTGGGGACCCTGAACAATAGAGGACAATAAAGTCCCCGATTGACAGAGGGTCCCCGATTGACAACTGTGTACAAAACATATGGGTGGTCTTCTAAAAAGGTTGAAGAACTGTACAAACAAAAGAGGAACAATAGGGGGTCCCCAGTTGCAGGCAAATATACACTTGGGTGTCTTTCTGTGGAACAGTATTGCTTTTCTTTCACTGACAACTGTAAATATTTTTCTGCTACTGCATAGGACTACTGTACAAAGCAAAATGAAATGTGTGTATAATCTAAAGCTTTTCTTAGTACTTAATTTAGGAATTATTAATGCATTTAGTAGAAAAATTTGTATACGTATGCCATGTTTAAGTTGTCCATTTGATATATTGAGCCACTGTATTCAAGTTAACTGAATCATGAACCGTCTAAGCTGCAATAGATACATGATACTTGCCCCTAAACATTCACTTGACAAAATTTAAAATGCAATTAATTTCTGGCCTAATTTTTCCATTTTCATAAAAGTGCTTTCACAAAGTGTGGAAAACATTTAGACACTTGCCCCCGTATTTCAAACTTAAAGTGGTTGAAATTTTGTGAAAAAAATTCAAAACAAATTGTGCTCACGTGAATCTGTTACATATTAGTATATTATTTGATGTTTTAGAGATAATGATTTGTAATGATGACTATCTAATGTTAGTAACGTGACAAAGTACTGATGTGCCTTCTCACAATTTGTTGGTGACTATACAATTTGACTTTGGATGCAGGAAAAGCTATGTCCCCTTGGTGATTTTCCTTTCAGATTTTCAAGGTTATTTTGATTTCAAAAAAACCAGGAGTGTTAAATATGACATTCAAGACTTTTTTTCATTTTCCAAGTGACTAATCGCCAGTTTCTCCCTCAGAAATTCAAATACCATTTTTTCATTGTGCCAACGAAGCTGAGAAACACTGGTTATGTTTCCAGTTTCAAAACGTAGTCATTATGTGAAGTGGTCACTTTAAGTTCCACTGATTAAATATAATGTATCTAATGGGTGTAATGAAGTTTATCAACCTCTCTTGTAGTTGTACCCAATGAATCACATACTTTTTTAAAAGCAAAACACACAAATAATGCCTGTAGAAAAAACTGTATCAACATGTGTGAGCAAAAACTCCTCTCCAGTTCCAGTACACTCATTTACTCCAGTCTTCAGAAATTTCACTTTTTTAGTACAGGGCACTACCCTATTAAAATGCCAGTTCATAGACAAAACTAAATCGGGTCATAAAACTGATTTTTTAAATTGTAATTTGTTGACCATGTAGGGTTTTTTACATTTAAATAATTCCAGCGTCGATGGCAAGATTTAACACAGAGGGAAAGATAAGATTTGATGTGCTTAAATGCTGCAGATTTTGTGTCAAGATGACATAAGGGCAAACATAGTGTACCTGTTTTTAAAGGATCAGTGATTTTATACCGTACCTTATCCATGAGGGAATTTTACACGTTTTATGCAATAATGTCAGCATTTTGAAATTCAGCATTTAGCTTGACTTTGTGATAGTGATTTGTTTGCATTATATTACCTTTCATTCATAAACAAACCATTTTGTTTTTGAATGCACAGATGAAAGTGTGATTCAACATTAACAGATTGTCTTCCCAAACAGATGCTTATAACATAATGTTCGGGATTGTAGAAGTTTTAGTTATAACATGTCCTAAAAACTAGGTTAGTTTAACAAATAACTTTTGAAAGTTGTAATTCTGTGTATAGCATCTTGTGGTTTTTAAGGTCAGTTACACTAGGCATCGACGTGACCTGTTAAATTGATATTCCCTGTTAAATGTCTTTATCCTGAAGTTTTCCTTTAATTTGTGCTTTGTTTAGTTGTGATTGTTGATATTTCAAAAACTACGAAGCAATGTCAAAATATCAGCTGGGATTTTAGAATTACCCGTAACAGTTTAGACCGGGCGATACTGCGCCCGTAAAAGTAATTGTGTGACTGTTGTGAATGAAGCGCCTTTTGCAAACTTTCCCCGGTATTTGCCCAGTGGCGAAGCCATAAGACCGATCGAGTGGAGACTGTGGCCGACGCAGGAGAAGCAGAAGCTGGTGCGGGCGCCACAAGGTAGTGACTAACGATAGCGTTCATGTTATTCGACCGTAAGCCTTAACTTTAAAAGGGCGTTCTTCCTGCTGTATTCTCCACTCGGTTTGCCTTGTGACTTGCACCTCGTTGAAGTGATGAAGTCTTTGTCAAAAGACGGTTTACCTGTACACATGGGTGTAAATCCCCGGGCATGGTGGAAGGTATATACATGTATCTCAGACTTCAAACGAATAAAATGTGTTCAATATCACTCAAAAAATAAGAAAAATAATTAAAAACCATAAATGTGCCATTCCGACTACATATTCAAATGCACGTCAATATCATGAACATCGACCTCTATAAAGAGTCATATGGTCCCCCCCCCCGCTTTTTAAATTTTCGTAGCGGGGAAAGTCATCCCCTTCCCCACCTTTCCCCACCCCCACCCTACCTTCCGGCACAGATTTACGCCACTGCCGCGCCTGTAGGCCAACATGTATTTATAACGCACGATATTGCCAGAATCAGCTTGATTGTTGCCATATCGTGAGATTTTAGCAGCTATTAGATAACTTGCGCAATAGGCGAGTTTTCAGTGCTCAACCCCTTCGAGGTCAAGCTGAAGCTGTAGAGAGACGGAATGCTCGTGGTTTGATCGGATGAGTTGTGCTTCCTTCCCAAAGGGATTACAAATTAAAACGATAGTATCCATCACTTGAAATTTTGGGGGTTTTTGTGCACAAGTGTTTGAGCAGTGTTGCTTGCTTTTCAGCAATGTAGTAGCTTGTCAGTTAATTCACACTCGTAATGCTGGTCGTGTCTTTATGGACGATTGGTTTTTATACAAATCATTCATGGCAATATGCATTAAACGAATGACTCTGTGACTGCATACGTATCCAGGTCTGTGTTTTTCGTTTTTTTTTTTACACCTGCCGTCTTTGCTATAATAAGACATTCGGGATGGTATAGAGTGTACACAAGTGAGACATTTGTAACAATTTATAATTTGAACAGTCGTTGTGGGAACACTGATTTCAGTGATATGCATCTCGGAAGCACTGAGTTCAATTTTGAATCTCCGAATGCTAGTGTAGGTTATCTTTGGATCATTGGACTTACATGGGCTTTCTTTCAAAGCATACACAGAGAAAAAAAAGGTATAAAACGGAGGATGTGCTCCTTCCAAAATAAACTGATCAAATAAGCGGATCGTTTTTAGTCAGCCAGATTTTCGTTCTGATTCGGTTGTGTTGTACTCTATTCTGTTAGTATTGGCTATCCTAACTGGGCATTAGACCTAAGGCAATGCGGAAGTGAGCTACATGTACATGTATGGTGAAACCTTCCTTTGAATGTGGTCTTTTGAAAGTAAAAAATACATGTACACAGTCTGTCAGAAAGTAAAATCCTCTTCTCGTCGTATCAAATGGGGCGAAATGGCAGCGGGATGATGTTAGGATGGGGCGAAGTGACATGGGGCCGAGTGGAAACGGTTGAAACGACCCTCTGCATGTACAACCCAATCTGCACGAGTTACTTGTGTCATTCCCGTGCAATCCAAAAGCCAATTACACACAGGAGCCGGATGGAATTAATGAATATCAGAGGTACGTCATTAAGTTTCCCGTCATTAAGTTTGTGTCTTTTTTTGTGAGCATCCACTGATTTGGAGGAAGAACTATAGAAGAGGCCGTGTGTCACCGGTTTATTTATTCGACGGGAAGTTTCTAAACCCCCCCCCCAAAAAAAAGAAAAAAATATATCAATCTGCCGGGTTCCCTATAATGCATAAACTATTCAGTGGCCCCAGTTTATTAGTTTTACAAAATCCACACCCAACTCTTGATTGCGGACCAAGGATACCAGGTCTGTCCGGGATTTCCAATCCCACCGATGACATATATTGAGATCAGGGCAGTTGTGTAACTTGGGCGGGCACATTTCGGTACGTTTCCCCCAGGAGATGCCTATGCCCCCTCCCCTTGAAATCTGTGAATAATATCCGTCGAAATGCAGCTCTAGCTCCTTTTCTATTATTTGTGGTGCCGGGCCCCCTTGAAAAAAAAATAACGTGCGCACTCCTGGCTGCCACTTGGACTTAGTCCTCTAGTTCGCTACTAGATCGGAGGAAGAAAGACAACTTGCAAATTTGGTTTGAATGTTATCAGTTGTTGCCCTATCTGACATTGATGTTGAGCTAAAGGGTATTTCTTCTGTTGCCAGATTCGCGTGATTTTTAACTCACTGGCTTTGAAATTATTAACCCAATATTATGTATTTCTATTTCTCCAGTTCTTTTCACAACCACAATTACTCACAAAAGATATTTTTACATGGTACTATACCACAAGCCCTTTACTTTACTATTTTTATGCAATCTGAACAATGAAAGCCATAAAGCGGGTTGTGACGTGATTTCAAAGACGAAGTCTGAAATGGAACGCAGAGGACACGCCGCCACCAAATCTGCAATGCACGCAAAATTTTCAACAAAGGATAGAGGGCGGGCTTTACAACGTTGGTACAGTTCGATCAATTTATCAGCAGCATGGCGTCCATGAGGAGAGTTCTGTCCCAAGAAGCGGCAACTATGCGCTTCGAGACAAGTGAAAGTGTTGATGTAACACCAACATTCGATGCAATGAACTTGCGGGAAGATCTTTTGAAGGGAATTTATGCTTACGGTAGGTATTTTATTTCATAAGGTTTGTTGAAACGAGCAGTGCAAGTTCGTACGCTGCATCCAATTCGTGATAAATTGAATTTGCTTGTCCGATTCCTATAAATATGATAAAATATACTTAAAGGGCCAAAATGTTGCATCCTGACTCCACTTCTCTCATTTTCTCATCATATATCATCTTAATAAAAGTCAGTCATTACAGAAATGCTGAAAAGACTCAAATTCTGAACTGAGAAACATTTACCTACCGATGTTGTTGGGAAATACTTAGAAAATTCTCTTCACTCCCCATAGACTTTGTACACAACTGCTGAAGTGAGTCGGGATGCAACATTTTTTCCCATTAGTCCAAGCAACTGGACTCAACTAATTGCTTCCGTTAACATTTGAACAATAGCATGCATGGTCAGGTGATAGAGTCCAAGTAGTCCTGGGGGCCTACCCTTCATCGCAAATTAGGCCTATGATAACTCGTGGATAATGGAAGGGAAAGCCTATGACATAGGCCCAGGCTTTTTACATAGACTTTCCCTTCCAGTATCCAGGAGTTACATGAACAATAATTTGCGCATTTAGTACTTTCACCAAAATATGTTCTTAAATATGCTAAACTAAATTTTTGATGGCTTCACTTTCACTATTAGTTTGATTAAAATCCTACATGGAATAATATTTTGAAGAGCACAGACTGTCATTGAAGTAACAGGAACAACATCATCTACAAACGAGTCGGATCAGCGGTAGTAAAACTTACGTCAGCATAATTCGTGCACGTACATTGCAAATGTCATTTTACAAGATATCAATAATGCCTTACTTCTGAAAAATCTACCAGTTGTTGTCTCTTGAATGAGTAATAAATTTTTTCATTTGTTACTTTAGTTTGGTGATGCAGTTTGAGAAGAAAAATCACATTCATTCACCATATCTTGACTTCCCACCACTTCCTCTTTCTTGTTCTTCTAGTTTTGAATTCTTCAATTTAATTTAACCCTAACCCCCAAGGTTTGCTGGCCCTAACCTTCCCCATTCACACAAAGTTAAACACCCATGTGGGACTTTGTGTACAGAGGCTATTGGACTTTGGTTTTCTGAGGTATGCCAAACCCAATGCCAAAGCCAGCTGTTATGTGCCTACCAGACCTATCCCCACAGAATTAAACACTTTACTACTGTTTAATTCTGTGCGGTTGGGGAAGGTTAGGGTTAAAGTTACAGTGAGGTATGAATTTTTATTCTTTCAAATAAATCATAATTTACGTTAATTCACAAAAAGTCACAAAAACAGTGCCGCCCATGCCCACGCCCATTGTCAGCAACAGGAATCTCAAAAAATAAGGTGTGCAATTTTTTTTATGATCCACATTTTTGATAACACCCTCAGTAGCTAGTGAAAGTCAATTGAAGTTGTTGTTTAGTGTCTGTCTTGAATGTCCAACACTGTCAGTGAGTGAACAGTGGCATTTATCTGTTTTTTGGACAATATGAGCTGGTTCATCCTTGTGTTTAGTCTGTTAAGTAAAATTTACGCCTTGCTGACATTTTTGTTTGAATTCTCATTGGAAAAGCTTTGAATTTGCACATACATGTAAAGCCCAAAAGAAAATGCCGAAGTGACAATCGATCATTGACAACAAATAATTTCATTCAAACAGTTTCACGAGGAGAAAGTTGGATGCATGAATATTTGTACATGTACATGTATTTGCGAATTTAGGGTACTCCACAATAATTTATTTCACTCAAATTCATGTAGCTCATACATTGTTGTACCAGAATCAAAATCCTCTGAATTCACCCCCGAATCAGCCCTTAAACTGTCTAATGCGCCCACTGTAGGATTCAGTGGCAATCGGAGATTCCAATGATGGTAAGGCTTACTCACATTTGGGAAGAAAAGAGAAATTTCCCCTTCAAATCAGAAGTGCTCTTGTCAGCCGAACTCAAGTCACAATCTTTTTCATGTAGCAATTCAAACTGTATGCTAATGTACATGAGCATGCAGTGTCTGCACGGGCATGCCGATGACTGTTTCCTGAGTGGTGCAATGTCCAGTGTACAACTCAATACCGGTGCTGAAATTTAACGTGTGACCTATCACTTTCAGGCTCTGTTCATTGACTTTTTGTGCTTATATTTTATCTGGGATGTGTGAATATTTTTGCAAATTATGAGAACTCAGAACTGTAACAAATGCATATACATGTATGTGTTTCACAGTCCCTGTTGGACTGTAGAAGTTAATCCCGGAAACAAAATATCACGCACCTTTGCTATACCTGGCACTGTAAATCTGCAGGATTTACATGTATGCAGTATGGGAAAGTCTGAACTGTTATTTCTTTTTATTTTGGGTTTTTGTCAAGGTAAAACCTCCCTTTGTGAGGAAAGTACCATATTTGTCCGCAGTGCATGTTTGGTGCATTTCATGTTGTGTTGAAATGTACAATCTTGGCATGTGCACCTGGCATGTGCACGAGGCCAGTTGAAAAACTGCCCACCAGTCTGTCTCTTCTTTGCTGGAGAGGAGGTACATGTAACAGGACTTCTATAATCGAATCATGTACAGTAGTAGCACAGAGAGAGCGGCAGTGGGGACTGATGCTGCAGACCAATTCACAGAGAAATTTCACCACATTGCACTCTGATTCTGTGGGTCTGTAATCACCATGTCTCATTCTTGAATGTTGACAGGTTTTGAGAAGCCCTCAGCCATTCAACAAAGAGCCATCAAGCCTGTAGTGAACGGTCGTGATGTCATTGCACAGTAAGTAGCGCCAAGAATTGAAGGCCTACTGCAGATATTTACTGATGGGTGCGATTGATTCAGGAAACATGTGGACATGTGCCATCTACATGTACATGTACAACATGTTGCTGTTGCATGCATTGGACCTCAACTTACAGAAAACAATCATTCATGAATTGGCTTACTACTTACATGTACTTGTTTATTAACCCTAACCTTCCTCAATCCTCAAAAATCTTCTGGGTGGTTTTGGTGGATTTTGGAGGATTGAGGAAGAATGGCAAAAAGTGTTGCTGATTGCAAAGGATGCATTGTGTCAGGGTTGTGGGTTAGACCTTGTGGTGCTTATGATCAGTCATGCAAAAATTCATGCCTAGATTATACATGAAATCATCCAGACTGCTCCAGGATACCATTCGCATTGCCTCAACACAGTGACAGGAATTGCCAGAGGATTTTAAAGGATTAAGGCAGTGAAACCCATCAAAGGAACATATCCCCTAAAAATTGGAGCATTTTGGAGGATTGAGGCCGAATGCAATTTCCTTTGCATGGATAATTGGAGGGTTTTGAAGGATTGAGGATGGTACCCTGCAAAAAGGCCTAGAGGTTAGGAACAGCAAATTAGTCCCGTTCAGCAAAAATTTTTAATCTGAGTTTATTCATTGTTCTGGAAAAACAATTCAATTTTGGCTGCGTGCACTCTGTAGCATTCTCGCATGCCAGTTACCGCATTGGCTAAGTCCTGCCTTAAGCTTTCATGAATGTAGAGAATTCATAAGGGGGAGGAATGAGGTTGTGACATACTCAAGAACCAGTGCCTAAAAGTGGGCTGAATCCCTTGTAAACTTGCTCCCCACAAGCAGATATTGTCAACCTATGGGAGCAGGTTATATATACCTCAGATGTTTGGAGCTCCATGTATAAAATTGCATAATTAGACAGTTATTGAGCATGTTGAAATGAACAAGGGGAGGCTTTTATTTTGTCCTGTCTTTGTATCAGATTTGAACGTACATCTGTTCAGCACAAGATCTTGTGAAAAGTCAACCGAAAACTTTTCATTTGAAGTGTAAAAAATGGGCTCTTGTAGTTGCTCTTGACAACCTGGCCAACAAGACCTTTTAGCCACATACACGTACATGTACTCTGACAACTGTTGAATCCCTTCAGCATTTGCAGTGGAACTAACTCTTGGTACATACATGTATACTTGTTTTTGGTTTTGTTTTCAAACAGAGCCCAGTCTGGTACAGGGAAGACTGCCACGTTCTCTGTCTCAGTCCTGCAGTGCTTAGACACCCAGGTATGTTTATTGCAGTCAAGACTTTCACCACTCTTTCCTAAGTTTGATGTACATAATACATGGGCTGGGGTTTCCATTAGGTAAATACCGCAATATTAAATAAAATATTTAAGCGTATTTCAGTTTATGAAAGCAAGGACCTCAAGGATTTTGTGTGAGGAAGCTTAGTACATAGTAGAGCCTGGCATGGCTGGAATATTGTTACATGTATTTTATCTTTAACTTCTCCAACCATATGAAGGTTCATATTTTCCTATTAACGGCAATGTGTCTTTCCATTCTTGATCATTTATGTTTTCCTCAGACGTTTTTAATAACCTTTGTTCCTTTCTTGCACCTGTAAAAGACCTGGTATTTCCTATCTCATCCTATCTCATTGAAATTTTTTTTCTGCCACCTGAAGGAGGTGGAAGTTGATCAGACTACTTCAAGAAATTCATTTAAAATAAAGTGATTGTAAAGTGTTGTCTATCCCACTTGCCCATGGCCTCCATAATCTAGCCATCCAACTGTCGAAATCCCAGTTTTATTCAGTCATTCTGTGCATCATGTTTAGGTTCGAGAAACACAAGCACTCATTTTGTCGCCGACCCGTGAACTGGCCGTACAGATTCAGAAGGTAAGAGAAGCAGTGATCTGCACCAAGTGGGAACAAGAGAAGGCTTTTTTTCTTTTTACATGGAAATGATGGTCCTTTGGTGGGAGCTCACTGTGTGAACGCAGAGGTTTATGCTCATTTGGTGGGGGGCACGCTGAGTACGCACAAGCATTTCATATGCGAACGTATGGTCTTCGGGTGTGTGCCGGATGCTTGCACGAGCCTAGTTGAAAGGCTTCCCACCCACCTGTCTCTCCTTTGCCAATGAGGGTGCACTTTAACTCGAGGCAGAGTAGAAATTTAGGCCATTAATGAGTTGTTATTGTTTATGAAAGGTATATGAATATTGCACATTCCAGTGATTTGGTACCAACTTTTCCAAATGTATTAATATACATGTACGTGTAATTAATGGCTTAGACGTTGTGGCTGAAAATCCAACAAACTTATCCTCTGTATATTTTGGAACCTAGAAGCACCTTTTTTTTAACCCTTCATGGAGCATCAAGCCCATCGCGTGGTAAATATTAGCCGGGCAGTTCCGTTTTCAAGTCCTGCTGAATCATTCAAAAAACACCTGATGGGATTTAACCCTAACCCTCCTCAGTCCTCCAACAGGTGAAGGATTGAGGAGGGTTAGGGTTAATGGATCTTGGAGGGTTTGGGAAAGAACTAGCAGGAGTGCTCTTTAACGGAGTGGGTTTCTGTTGATTTGCTGTTGTTTTGTTGTGTTAGGTGATATTGGCCCTGGGTGACTACATGAGTGTGCTGTGCCACGCCTGCATTGGAGGCACAAGTATTGGTGAAGACATCCGCAAGCTGGACTTTGGCCAACACGTGGTCTCAGGAACACCCGGCAGAGTCTTTGGTATCCTTGGCAGCAACTAATACTTGCATTTTCAAGATTCACTTATTTAACCAGCTTTTCTATACATTTGGTGTGGTATTAAAATAGTGAGACTCTGCTTTCGTGGGGATCTTAATTAATAGTTTGGGGACCAAGAGGTGGACCTTTTTCCTGAACAGTCAGCAACCCTGGCCTTCCATGTATTCTTGTCACAAAGCTTCCTCAGTCCTCCAATATTAACCTAATCGCAAAGCTTTAATTTTTAAACTTTCAAGAGGAAGCCAGCCACATGGGTAGCAGTATTTTTATTTGATGTGACTTGCATTAGGGTAGGGGTGATTTTGTATGGTGCCTGGCCCTGCACCGACATGTATTTATTAACACTGTATACTCAGGGCTTTGGAGAAAAAAAGTGCAGTCAGGACGGATTCAGACCCACAACCTCCTGTGTACTTGTGTTGACATCTTACCTCACAACGACTGAGAATGTTAGGGTCAGCTGATGGTTTGAGTCACACGAGCAGTGGGTGTTGCACCAAACATTTGATAAGATATAAAACAATTGTGACTGGGCTCTACCTTCACCAATTCTACAAAATACTGCAAAGGCTCTGCAGAGCGCATTGGAATAACCTGGGCAAGGGAGGGTTAAGAGGTGCCACTTTGCAAACCATTGTATCTGAGGTTTTACCTGGTGAGCTGGCCCAGCACATATGCATGTCCTCACAAATGACAAAAAGACACAAATTTGGGAACATTTGGTCAGCATGGTCTGCTTTGCCTGCTGTCTGCCCTTGCTTTCCTCATGATAAAACCAAGTTGCAAGTTTTTCAGAAACTGGGTTTTCTTGTGTGATGAGCTTACAGTCACTTCATTTTGAGCTTGAACTTGTGCGGGTCTATTTGGACAGCTTTGTTGATGCAGTTTATGAAACTTAAACTGAAGATTCATCGGGTTGTGATGTTTCAAAGTTGCATTTGATTGCCTCTTTAACTGCTTATTCTATACATCAGACATGATAAAGAGACGAAACCTCCGCACTCGCTCCATTAAGATGCTGATCCTAGATGAAGCGGACGAAATGCTCAACAAAGGTCAGTCAACAGTCTCTGGTTTCAGATTTGTAATCCAAAGATGATGTTACCTGTATGAAAATTCTGTCACAAACTGAACAAAGCTGTCAGAAGGAGAAGCTTGCATTTCAGTTTATGACATGTTGAAGATAATTCTGTCTTGAGGTTCGGCACAGATCTGACATAGTGCTCAGGAAAAATCATGCTGAAATAAATGTATTTGACATGCCGAAACCTTAGGTGCTCATGTGTAATATGCTCTCATATTCTGGGCTTGTTCTGCACTTGTGTTTCAGATTGTGTGTCACAAGCCAAGCATGCACTTTTCTTAAAACTGCACTGAATTTGTCAAAACCATGGCTTGACACAAGATAGTCACATTCTACCTCAACAAGGATAACCTTTTAATCAAATCTGGCAAATCTCTGACCTTTGCCCTTACCTTCCTGTCTTCTTAGGCAGTCAGCAATACAAACACCACATTTATCTGTCTGTTCAGACCATCAATCTTCTCTGTCTTTTTTTCCCCTCAGGTTTCAAGGAGCAGATCTACGACGTCTACCGTTACCTCCCTCCTGCCACCCAGGTCCTGCTCTTCAGTGCCACGCTGCCTCATGAGATCTTGGAGATGACCACAAAGTTCATGACAGAACCCATCCGAATTCTGGTCAAGCGGTAAGCCATCTTAACGGTTGCCGAGCTCTTGGAAGATCGGAATTGCAGAAGTGCTCCTTCGATATATTAATAAACACATTGCAACAGAGAGGATAGTTGCATTATACACATGTAACTCACATGGGATATTTTGGCATTGATTTCTGCTCAACTTTTTCCCCTTCACTGCAGTGATGAGTTGACGTTGGAAGGAATCAAGCAGTTCTTTGTCGCCGTGGACCGAGAGGAGTGGAAGTTTGACACGCTGTGTGACCTCTACGACACACTGACCATCACGCAAGCTGTCATCTTTTGCAATACAAAGCGCAAGGTGAATATACAAGGAGCACAAACTGAAATTTGATCTCAACATCGGTAAATTAATAAAAGTACCAACTCTTTTGTTTCTCCTCAAGGAGTAGTTGTGGAAGAGTTAGACAGGTGACATTCCATTCACTTTATGCATTGGTGATCAAAGCATGTCGTGATGATAGTCAGGCCACAAAGAGTGCCACAGGCTGCTGAAAACACAAACAATGGTCACGTGGTGCTTTTTCTGACACTTCACTATCTCACATGCTGCCATCTTTGCATGTTTAAACAAGACAACACAAGAGACTGAACAGGTTTTTGTATCCTGTCTCAACAAAGGATGATAAATCACAAAACTATGAATACAGCATAATTGTGGCATGTTTTACCATAGAACAGTCCTCAATCCTCCCATTTCTCTATAATTCTCACACCCGAAGGGATTAGATTGACAAGCTCTGTGCAGAGCTGTGTGAGAGCCTCCTGAAGCTGTGCAACTCGGCTGTCAATTTGTTTTAAAACTCTAAAATACTCAATAATTTCAACAAGGATTCTGCTAGGGTTTGAACAGAAAATCTTTCTTGCAGCTAAAGTATGTCTGTTTGATGTCACTCTGGTTATTAAGAGCAGCCTGTCATATCTCATGATAAATCTGTCAAAGTGTTCAAGGAACTACTTTGTCATTGTGTATCGACTAGTAAGGTCTTCTAGAAAGAGCAAAGGCTCGCTTGACCATTGATGCAAACCCATGAGTTAATATTCTCTCTTCTCAGGTTGACTGGCTGACAGAGAAGATGAGAGAGGCCAACTTCACCGTCTCCTCGATGCATGGCGATATGCCGCAGAAGGAGAGGGACGAAATCATGAAAGAGTTCCGGGCTGGAGCGACGTGAGTAGATATATGCCCATGTAGCCCATTACTGTGTAGGCTGTTGAGTGCATTCAAATTGAAAATCAAAGGAAGGGACTCAATCATGAAGGTGTTCCTGGCTGATGTGATGTAAGTTTATAGCTTGCAACTGCAATGTCAGATGCAGATTCAAACCACAGTCCAATTTCATGGAGTTGGTGAGAAGATACTGCTTAGCAAATTCAGTTGCTTGGCAGAAATAGGCTGAGCACCAGCCACGGTTAATATAGGATGCATGTCATGGGGTTGATAACTTGCTTTTGCTTAGTTTCTTTGCTAAGAAGATTTCCTTCACTTAGTGCCTCTTTTTTTTCTAATTAGTCCCTTGTTTGAATTGAGTGCCTCCGTGAGTGAAGATTTGATTTTTTTTAACCAGGTAAAACAGAGTTTACCCACGAGTGACTGTAGTTGTTCCAGGGCTCTGTGTTAACTCCCAAGGGAGTGGTTGCTGCAGTTGACTACTCCCCTGACCAGCATTAAGAGTTATTACTACAGAAGCCGTGGCTGGCACAATACTTGCACATAATGCCTCTTCAATCAAGAGTATGTTATGACTTAACAAAATGTAGCTGAAGTTGAATGATGCATGTGACCCGTGTGCGTGTAGCGGCAGCCAAGACTGCGAGGCCACCTGGTATGTGTCATTTTCACCAGTGATTATTGACACAGTCACAAAATTTGTGTGTCTGTCCATCTCAGGCGGGTCCTAATAACCACAGACGTTTGGGCCCGTGGATTGGATGTGCAACAGGTGTCTCTCGTCATCAATTATGATCTGCCAAACAACCGTGAGCTTTACATCCATCGGTGAGTCCAGATATCAGCCAGAAAAATGTCAAAGGGTAATGGAGATTGGAGGGCACCCATGTGTGCGCTTTCTTGTATTTTCAAACCAGATTTTGAGGGGGGGAGCCCAAATTGAAAAAAGTCGTTCTTGACATAATCAAGTTACACTTTGTTAGAATCTTGACGATTTAATTATCTTGGAGAACCAATCAGTTACTAGGTACGTGCATCTGCCTCAGTCTTCAACAGGTGCTCACCATACTTCATGGTTTTGTGTTATTTCTCAACGTCGCTGACAGCCACTTGACAGTTTGTATGACTTGTTTGCAGGATTGGCCGATCGGGTCGTTATGGTCGTAAGGGTGTTGCCATCAACTTTGTCAAGAGTGATGACATCCGTATCTTGAGGGATATCGAGCAGTACTACAGTACGCAGATTGACGAAATGCCCATGAACGGTGAGTAAAACTACATTGAGTACTTCTTGTACTGTTTCAAATTCTGATTATTGTGTTGTCACAGGTCATTGCATGTAACATTTATACCTCCAGTGCAAAAAGGCAAGACTGAGGCGAGACAAAAGACCTCCTAAGTCTCTTTGCAAAAACATAGGCACAAGAAAGAACTTGAGGCTAAGTTTCCCCCTTTCCGTAAACCGTGTCCTGTCTGCACCACTGGAGGACTTGGCGATGCTTTGAACCCATGGGACAGAACATTGCAGGATAGACATTTCAGAGGAGAGACACCATTCCTATGGGGGCCATCACACTCACTCGTGGGTTTTAATTAGACACGTGCAGGCATTTGGCAATTCTCAGCACCCTATTGGTCAGAGAGAAATGTAACATGCACGTACCACCTGACTGTGAATAGGATGGCCCTGCGGTAACAACTTGTAATTCCGGTTACGGGATTAGTCAATTTCTTAATGTTAATCTTTTCTGATTCTTCCGTAGTTGCTGACTTGATCTGAGGTAGCAAACGTGAGGTCCCTGATGATGTGAGATAGCTTTTACCTTACCCCACTCCAGTAGTTCAGGTTGCCAAATGCATGTAACTTTTCCTGTATCAGTTGGTATCCTGAAGGATGTCATTATTTGAAAAACCTGTCCAGCTTGGGATGTTCTCATCCCCCTCCCCCCTAAAGTCCCAGTTGCATGCCTGATGTCAAAACACGTCATTTATACCAGGCATGAAATGGGACAGAGGGGTACCTCCCCCCAACAAGTTCAATCCCTATACACACTCCAGCCTGGTGTTACTTAACACATCACCCAGATGTCTGAAAAGAATTCCTGAGATACCAGGTAGGGTGGTCTCTCTGTCCCATAGTTTGCATCAAATGACTTCATTACTACCATAATGTTTTGGCTGGGTTTTTCGGCTACGATTAACTGACACAAATTTTCCTCTGCTTGATAGCCTTGTATGAAAAAGAAGTAAGGAACTGTTTTACCATTCTGCAATGTTGCCAACTGTGTAGTCCCAGAACACTCCAGCAGTGGGAATATTTCCTATAGTGATGTATATAGCAGTTTGTAGTTATGTTCTTAGGTAAACATTTTTAAAAAGTATTTTGGGTGTTTTCTTGTCACACATGTACAATTGTTTTCATAGCTTCTTTAACACTGGAATGTTGTAATAGAACTAAGACATTTTTTTTTTCAAGCTCAATGTGAATAGGCATGGTTTTAACATTATTCCTGATGGCATAGCACTGAAAAGGTTTATTGTCTTTGCCCCTTTCTGACCGATTGACTTAAACCAAACCATTTTTTCATCACAGAAATTCCAGTTTGATGGTGAATTGAAACTTAGTATACACAGAAAGCAAGTGGAATGAACTTAAATCGACGCTGTCTGGGACATAATGAAAGGTCCACATGTCATGCTGTTCAACTTTATTGGATGATTGATGGTGTATATGTTTCTTGATAATGTTTTTGTCCCCATGTTAATAAGATTGCAAACTCCAATAAGATTTGCCCATTGGGAACAGGTCATTTGTCTCGGAACAGTCATCCAAATCATCATCACCAGATTTCTATATCTTGTATTTGCGTCAACTAGAAAACACATTTTGATTTGGTGGAGTAGACAATGTGGTATCCACCTCTATTTGCTATGTGAAATGTCCGTGCAGGCACAAGAAGCTCAGCTTCCATTCACGTGGATGTTTTGTCCCGAATGCCCAGAAATGCTTGCTCTTTTGGTGGCAGATGTGACAGAACCATAAATGCTGAACTGAAGGGTGCACACTCTTGATAGCAGAAACCTGCTTGTATAAACTTTTAACTTTCTTACTTTTATTCATTTCATCATGATATATAGCATGTCTTTGTATTTTTCCCTTAAAGTTAAAAGAAGCTCTCATTAGTATGTGCACATTTTAAGAAATTTACAGTGGGGGTTTTAATGATTTTTTTCTTGCAAGAAATTTTGACTAAAATATTTGCATCCGTAAGCATGTCAGCATTTGATTATAGGTTTTGTTGATGCACGGGCTCGTATTAAATAAGGAGATCAATACACGATATCACTCACCAAGTTTCCAAAGCCAGTAAAATTGTTGATACATTTTACCGTTAAAGTGGGCATATTTCTAAAAAACAACTTTCAGTCGCATTAACTCTTAACTTGATTCTTTTTGGTAGTCTTAATTATGTGAAATCAATCAAAGCAACGGTTTAGTTACTGTACAGCTTTTGGGAAGTACAATATTGTCAGCTGTCAAAGCTTTGCTTAAGCCTCGGACTATTTTTTCTGATGTTGTATTCTTTTGTCGTGTATGAAGTCTGATTAAGAATTGAGCCTTTTTATTAACCTGCCGTTTATCGTCTCGTTTTATAACGTACACGGAGTAATAATGCTGCTGTCTGTGCACTCCGTGGAAAATTGAAGGTGGCGCTGTTTAGCCTAGTTAAGTTCCTTTGTCTTCATAGCACTCTCCAATAGAGACAGCAAAAACTATCAAGGACCAGATTGGAACAAATTTTTGTGTCTGTCTTCTGTAATTATAAGCCTACACCTACCTACAGAACCCAAGCTTTTTACAGGGCTTGAGGGTCACCTCGAACACTGCTTCACCACATTACTTTAAGCACTAAGGTTTACATTATAATGATGACATTTTTTAGAAGTATGTGTACATTGAATGGGAAAGTAATGTGAATAATGTTCATAAATTCATCATTAAGATGAAGTGTTAATTAAAAAGTAAACTACCAAGAAATTGTTCTACATAAACATCAATCCAATAAAAGCAGAATTTTTTGGCCTGGATCTGGCAAAAGGCCAATGCTGTCACGTAATTATGGGATAGGGCTGCAATTTTTTCATCCTATCCTTTGAAGCTTTCCTTGCCCCCCCCCCAAATCTAACAGGTTCAACATTTGAAGACGGCCGCAGTTACATTTTATCTTAATCAACCCTGTGGCTGAGACCTACCACATATGAAGCCACTTTCGTCACCCAAACCTTGGAAGTACATGTACACGTATAGTAATACTGGCAATAAAATCCAAATGTATTCTGAAGCGTGAATTGTAGTTTTAACCATGGTTTCACACAATTTTATGTGGGCCTCACTTGATACAAAAGAAAGAATAGCGATGCTTACAAATTATTCACATGTACAGAGCATATAAAACTCCATATCATCTACAGCAGATTTCAATATATTGCTTAAGATAGTATATGAACAAAGACAATTGCAAATTCTTGCTAAACGAGGGCATTGTGGGGACATACCATTCCCTCGCCGTGCTGCTAAAATCGGTTAACACGAATGCTGGTAAGTGGTTGTAACTAGGAGCACGTTACATCTAGCTGCAAGCCTAAATTTCAGGCTAGGCCTTACTTCTTTTTGAGGAACTCGTCCTGCATGGCTGGGATGAGTCCTTTACGGAAGGCGACATCCAGTAGCTCCTGCACGTCAGCGATGTTCGGATACTGGTGGAGGGCCCACTTGAGGTAGGTCTCGAACTCGTTCCAGTCCACCATTCCGTCGGCGTCCATGTCAATGGCCTGCAGGGCCTTCATGGTGTCGGAGCACCTGTAGCAGGAGAAGTAGGGCGCCATGAAGCCGTTGTAGAAGGAGTCAAACTGCAGCATGTTATCCCCTTGCACCTTGTCCTTCAGGTCCCACTCGTCCCACGTCTTGCGGACTTCGGCCAGCAGATTCTCGGCATGCGGCCCCTTGAGCTCAAACTCGTCGATGGCGTCTCTCATTTTCTGGTTTAGACTCCCTCCAGCTCGATCGAACAGTAAAGCCAGACCCACCATACTCATATACTCTTCCTTTCTGCGTATTCCAAAATAAACGGATAAATATCGTAAGCAAACACGGAAGACTTCCTCAAATCATAGAACTCAAATCAATGCCAACCTATCAGGGTTAAAGCTGACTTCACCATAGGACTTTGTCCAGATGTCTAGAGTTGGGAATATCCGTATAGCTTGATCTCCACTTTACTGAAACGCCTAACTAAATTGAGGGCTTTCAAATTAACTGTGAGAAAATCATGCTCTTAATAAAGCATGAGCAAATGATTCTGAAGCACTGAAGGTGATCTTAAAGTTCTTAAGACGACAGTTTCGATACAAGTCATGCTAAGTTTTAGGGCTTATGCGTGTATTAGGCCCTTTAATAAAAGACATAATTCTCGAACCTGCCAGTTCGGAGGTCTTCCAGAATAAGCTCTTTCATCTCGTGGGCAACCTGTAGAGTAAACTGTGGATCTTCCCCGAAGAGATCGATCAAGCGTTGACGGATCATCTCCTTGCTGGCCATGGTGGTGATTCGAATGGGCGCCTTCTCACCAAAGAAGCTTGCCAAGTCGAACTCCTCGGGCTTGAGATCGAAGACGAAGTCAATGGCTCGTGCACCGAAGACTGGCTGCTTAATGTGCGGGTCTTTCCCAGTGGTGATCTTGGTCACGTTGATGGCGGCCTTGCGGAGGTAGGTACAGTTGTACTTCTGTAGGACCTTCTTGTTGCCGAGCCGGATGAGATTCATCAATGTGACACATGATGAGGCGTTACCCATAGAGGCACCCTCGGCACAAACACTGGCCCAGATACCATCAGCACCATCCATGAGAACCTGCCGGAGCAAAAAGAATGGGGTTGCCCCAAGCATTCTATTTCAGGAATATAACGAATTTCAAGTTGAAAGTGTTCTTTTTACAGTATTATGTTTTGACTCTGTATGTAGTACGGTTAGTTTTTACTCTTTGACTTTTTCCAACATTATGATAATGTTGTTAACTAGTTAACTATATAGCTTGATTTGTGACGTACGAGTAGTGAAACTGAAGTATGAACGTCCCTAGTCAACCTTTGTCTGGTCATTAGGCCGAAGTGGCCGCAGGAAGGGCAAAATAGCAAAATTAAAAGTGAAAATGGCTATTTACTAGTGGCATAGCCCTACTGTTTTTCTGGCGTATAACGCTAAGTTGCGTATAACTGGTCGTCTCTGCACTGTGCTAGTACAAACCATTTATGGCAACCAACGATGCGACCAACCTCGAAAGGCTGGTCGCGAATAGTTGACTAGACTAGTCCAACTATCGCTGACTAACGTGCGTTCGGTAAGAGTTAGTCCAAGTATGGTTAACTATGGCCCTTGATCGAGCTTGCCCACAGCTGTGCACAATAGGCGTGGCCATTTAATGTACACAATGAATCCGTAAATAGGAAATGTTTCACTCCATCCATAGAGTGTCCTTTCTCTATGCTCCAACTTACCTGAAGAGCTGTCGCGTCGCAGTAACCAAACTTCTCGTGCACATGGACCAGCAGGTGTCCCCCCCAGCTGTGTTTGTTCATGACCTCACGGATGTACCGGGTCCACATGCCGCACTCCTCCGGCAAGGACTTCCCCCTGGGCTCCTCGAACATCAGACCGAAGGGACGGCGGTTGGGCGGCAGGCGGGCCAGGTAGGCGACAGTCTCAAACACCCGCTCGGAGTGATCGGGCATGACGTCGGGCAGGTCACGGAAGCTGACCATTACCTTGGCCTTAGGGCTGAGGTTCTCGAAGCACCAGTCATTCCACTTGTTCAGCAGGGCGCACATGTCCTTTACGGCGAACTTGTTGAAGTCGTAAACTATATCTCCCAGATCCACCTCGAAGATCACACAGTACAGGCCCGCTGGTTTCAATTTTTGGATGCCAACTGGAACGTTCTCCGTATCTGGTACCTTCCCTTTCGTACCTGGTTGTACAAAAATTCAATTCCCCAAATAACTGTACCTCTCAGTGAAAACCATTCCTACTGGGTTTGTTTCAATGATGATCAGAATACGTTAGAAATTGAACAGTCAATGAAGATGATTAGTGATAGTGACAGTGTCAAATGCTGTGGTAAGGGCATGGCAAAAGAGATTGTGACGCTGGCACCAAGATTGGTGATGATTGTGATGAACCGAGAACACCGACAAATAATCAACTTGGCCTACACCTATCCTTCAACTTGGACCACAGTGTGAGGCACGCAACTATAAAAGCCGGTGCACATTTGCAATTTGCTCGAAGATTATGGTGGAGATCCGAATTTTTAAAATCTACCTGCAGTGATCTCGGAGAAAGCCCACAGGCCATCTGGGTCCTCCCCCTTTTCCTTTAGCTGCATGATGAAGACGTCATCTACGCGAGTCATGTGGGAGAAGGACGCCACAATGGTGTGCTTAAAGCCACACTTCTTCACCTCGTCGTAGATCTGCCACTTGCTCTCCAAGGTGTGGCCCCGCAGCTGCCCGACGGTGCTCTCTCGGATGGAGTTGTCCAGCACAAAGATGTCCAGGTCACGGAGAACCTTGTACTTCTCCAGCGCCTTAGTGACATCCCTCTTGTAGCTCTCTACAAGATTCTGTGGTTTGGACTTCTCTTGTTCCCGACTGGCCCCTGCGCCCATCGTACGGTATTCCTGCAATTGAAATCCGTCAATGGAAAACAGTGAAGTCTTCTGAAGTTCTGATTCCACCCCACTCTCCATTAGCGAAGGACATAATGCAAATACAAACAAAATTCTCGGCGATATCAAAGAACAACGAGCAACAGTTTCTCATTTCAAGATAAGCTCTATGATTTTGTAGTATGGAGTAATGAAAACCGAAGTCACTGGCTGTTTAGTGTGAGACCAATTTCGGGATCATTATAAATATAGAATTTCCTCCACTGCAGGATTTTAGAGTTGACCAAGACAGCGATGCCGATTAGGGAATTACAACTTTACTCGATCGCAGGAATTAACACTGTGGCAAATTTAACCCTTGGTGTAATTATGCGCTGACGCAGACATTAATCACTTAGAGATCAGCTTTAAACCTTAAAGGTTAGTTGGTACACGTAAATACCTTGTGAAGAAAACAACAGTTTGTATTGACTTGTAGTTCGTTTTGAATTAAAAATAGAACATTCTTAAATGGAGAAAAAAGGAAAGTCTGCACAGTGAACGGTTTTGTTACAAGAATTTGGCGCTGATATTGATTGTCCATTTGTGACAAGTGAACCTTTTTGATCTAAGGCATTAGGAAAGCCAGTGGCAAATAGTGGCCGTGTGTAAGTATGACCACAAACAGACTACGGTCGGAAGAGGCAATAGGCATATACGCATAAATGCTGCTAGCTAGAGGCTGTAAGCATTCCCATAGACACATGCAATATTGGTAATAGGAAGTTGAGAATTGCTACGCACGGAAATGAATTCGCAGTAAGACCTGCGAACTCTGCTAAACTGGATGATGATTGGACACGACTATTGTAGAGGATCGTGTCACGAAAAGAGTCAGAGTTGTTGACGCGCTGATACTGTACGTGATATTGCGATCGTGCTGATACCGGATTGCGCCCAACAGTTACATTATGCTTCAGATCACGTCAATGACGATGCTTGTCGAGCGTAATCATTCTATGATTTTCAAGCTTAATTAAAATCTAAATAAATTTTACTATGCCGTCCATCAAAACATCTTGGCTTTTGGTATCATATTAAGATAGTAGTCCCAATAGTAGTAGTTATTTAGAGCAATAGTTTAAAGGTTCAAATAGGTGACTAAAGTTTGAAAGTTAAGGTGGACAAACTTAGGAGACTGGTGGGAACACATTGAATTGGACTGGCTACCCATCTTTGGTTTTCATGGCAACTAGGGACATTTTCTGAAGGAGGTATATTTAATGAGAATATTTAAGGTAAAGACTGATCAAGATCCGTTGAGATTCGGTCATGTTAACCTCTAAACAGAAAAGAGTAAAATACACTCTTTGGTGAGCCATGGACGAGTGGTCTTCGACGCTTTTACAATGAGGCTTGCATCTTTGCAACCGCTCTCAAAGAGTGAGGTAACCACCAGTTTTACATTCTGAGTTGATATTGCGAAGGCCAATGTGTTTCTTCTGACGGTGCAGTCACTGAGTAGCTTCCGTGTATGAAGCAAAAGACACCTAGCGTGCATACAACGCAGAAGCAAAAGCTTCCTTGGTTCAGAAGAAGTAAGTCAAATAAATAAGGCAACTAAAAGTTTGGACCGAGGCCCTAAACTGCATGGACTGGTAAATTACTCATACTTTCATCAGTCTGACAAATTAGTTAGCTGACTGATGGCATGGAAACTTACTCCAGTTGCCCGGCAAATTGGGCTGTTCTGACACTTGAAAGGAAGGCTCATTAAAATTTTTGGCAACCCATAGCTCGAAAAAGGTTGAGGAAGCTTTTGTGTTTTTGCCTCGAACGATAACCTCTCATTTACATCATTCTTAACCGAAATCTGATGTGCATTATGTGAACTTACATGTACTGCAGTTCTCAGTCAATGTATCAGCTCTCAGCTCTGTCCTGCAAAGAAAATGGTTGTGGACAAGTAAAACCCTCTACTAGTAGATTCAGTCCCACATAGGTTGAGCCAGACAATCTGCACAATGGACAACAAAACGCTGTGTGCGCTTGCTAAATGTTTTCCAGGAGACTGGTGTTTCCAACCCTCTATTCTATTCTATTCTACCGACTCCTTCCTAACAATAAATAGCCTTATGAGGCGAGAGCCTGTCTCGCAAAGTACTAACTGTGTACCGCCCACTCTGAAAGAGGCCATTCAAAGGCAACAAAGCAAATGTTTATAGGATCATTCCCAGGGCTCCCGGTTCCACACAAGCTTCAAAGCCTGAATGTGTTTACTTTTACATGAAGAGTGAGTTTTTCAAGGTTGGCAGTGAGCTTAGATTTAAATATTATGAAAGTACATTTGTATTTGGGGGGCGTACACCGGTGTTGAACGGGATATCTTTTGATTCTAAAGAGCTGGGGCGATTATTTGCGCAAATTCATTGTTACGCGTTAGGAAGGAAAAAAATGTTATCCTTTCGTGGTCAACTGTATTGGCGAGGGGCTTCATGACAAATATCGACGGAGATCCCTAGGGATGGGAGGATATATCCCCCCACACGTGGGGGGAGGGGCCAATATAATCACCCCCTCTCCCCATTCAAGTTACTGACTTTATGTGCACCCGTAGCCTGCACCACTGACTCCGCGCTTGCCGGCGTCACAATTTCACCTGAGACAGAGGCTGTGCTGAGCATGATGGATGAATACAAAATCACCCCCCCCCCATACGGCCGGGTCCGATACTGCGTCTGTGAAAATGACTGTAGAAAATAGTCGTAGAACCCGATTGGATTGTTACATGAGCGCACGAGTTCGACGGCCGCAGAGAAGTAATTTTTGAATGCGGTATTGCATTGCGACCACATGAGCCATTTAGTTTAGAGTTCAAATTCTGATCTGCAAAGGCGGATCCACGATTTTGAACGTGGGAAGGGTTTCGGGAAATTTTTGTTTGTACAAGGGGTTGCGGTACTACATGTAGTTGTCGCCGATGGTGAAGCCATTCGTTGTTTGTCCTTAACTGTCCACGCAAAACAAGACCCTTACATTGTTGATGCATTTTAGATCTGCGCCTGTAAACTAAACGTTCTTTTTACCCTTGTGATATTTGGTTTAACACCTCACAGAACGGACGCATGGCACTGTTGCCTCGTGAGCACCGACGTCCCAAACGTGTCTAAAAAGATACACAATAACCGTATCACTACAACTGGTAATTGTTCATAGGTGTACCAACAGCAGAGGTCGTTACCATGGATATCTGTTGTGGGGTATCCTTGGTGGAAATTGCTGCCATTACACTGTTTGATTGATTGCACTACTACGATTGTGGTGTTTGGGCAAGCTTCCTTTGAAGATTTGTTCTTCTTGAAGGTCCCTTCTTTCCTGAAGAGCTGTTCTGCGAGGCTTATTGTGTAATGCTATTCGAAGTCGATACTTTGCACATATGCAGCAAGGTATGAGACGGAGAGAACCCCCCCCCTTTGTGTTGGTCATTGTCTCGCAGGAATCTGACATCTTGGGGGGGGGATGTGTTAAGTAACAATAGTCTGGAGTGTGTATAGGGATTGGACATGTGGGGGGGTACCCCTGGGCCTGATTTCTTGCTGGGTATAACTTTGCAAATGACACTCATTCTCCGCAAACGATCCTATACCGATAAGTGATGCATCCGTAAATTTGGGTATTCCATGCGTGGGCCTATTTTTCCTCAAGTGTTGCTACGGAAAACTTGTGATGTTACTTCAAGTGAACGATTCTCTGTCGTTCGCCATGAATGGCCTGAAACTCCATATGAACGATTCTCCCAAGTTGCAGGTAAAGTTTCTGGCTCTGTGTTTGAGGTATCTGCACCCAAAGTGGACCTGGAGGCCAGATTAGGTTTTTTGAACTGCAGGTAACAACGGCTTAAAACTGCTACTTGTCTATGCTGTCGGCTATAGGCGTTAAAGCCCCTGTTGCGTTTTAATGACAAGGTCTGATATGGAATTATTTCACATCGACTTTCCTTGATGAAATTCGTCGATTTCACAAATTGCCGGAATGCCGATTTACAAAGGAGTGTACACATTTTGTTTCAGTTATTGTCTAAAGGGTATATTAAGATATTTTGGGGATGTAATTGCCAAATACATTTATGTTTTCATTCTGTATAAATTCCATCCAATCAAGGCCAGCTTCGAAAAGTGCTTTTTTATTATCATCCACCGACCTACCCACACCCACCCTCCAAAAAAAATTATTGCAAGGACGCCTCCCATTATAATTAATAAAGGGCTAATCTTTAACCAGTGTCTACGTAGTGTGCATGTGGAACACAATTATACGGTTACAACAATTCTTGCTTGGTTACAACAATTCTTGCTTCGTTACAAAATTAGAATTGCACCATAATTCAGAGAGACGTTATCACAGTGCGCCATCTAACGACTCAATAATTAGACTAGCGCGTTTGCTGGCAATAAACTTTTTTCCAGTGATGTCACGGTCATGCTAGTCTGGTTCCCAGCCCAAAGAGTCCCAGATGACTCTTGATAAAAACCTTAAGTCATGCATCACCCATGGATATAAATAGTTGAGAGCCTAGGTGTTTTCGATTTCATCAGTGGCAACATCTCAAAATGAGGCTTTCCCCATATCCAGTGGGAAATACTGCAAGTGATCCCCTCTGAGAGAAAGTTTCGGGCACAAAGCCTGCATCGATCGAAGAAAGTTATAATCTGCGTTTCGTCCGGCATTTCGGCCAAGGCGACCTTCGATTTCAGCGTAAAGTCAAACAGGCCTATTCTGGTAGGATCAACAGCTGCTAATTGGATACGGGGGTTTACGTTCAACAGCTAGCCCTACCAACCCGGCCGGGAATAACCTAACATTAACGGTACCGTCCGAACATGCCAACTATAGACGGACGATTTTGTAATATTTCGGCTATTTCCGGAAAACTTGAGGAATTCCTCCAGTCTTGGTCACGTGGACATTGGGTAATACCAGGCCCTTAATTCGTAGAGTAGTCAGAATCATCGGGTCTGGCATCCAGACTTCGATCATGCTTGACCTATGATGTGTTGCGATGGTAATGGTGCATAGTGTTGTGATGGTAATCGACCTTTTCAAGATAAACCAGTCAAGTATGCAGCGTCCGCACGTGCGCTAGCACGTGGTTGAAGCTGCTCGTAGGAAAATATGCGATCGCTGTGGCCAAGGCGGTCCACTCGTGGTGGTATTGTTTTAGTGGCATTTAGTCACGTGGGTGAAAAAGGTCTATAGACCTCTTCACTATTGAATTCATAATCATGCACGTATGCGCACAAATGGCCTTGGCGGCAAGAAGTGTGAGCTGGCCATTCAAATGTACGGGGGTGCGACTTGATCATTTGATCTTGATGATCATTTTCTCACAGGTTCTCTGACTATGTTCAGTTTTTTTCTTCAGAAAATCCCATTAAATCTTTTTGCTGTTAGTTCATAATTTAAGTGGAATTTTTAGTGCTCTGTTAAAAGATTTAAAAATCGTAATTTTTCCTGTGTGCACGAGATCGTCGTTTCTTGGTGTGGCCCGCTTCTGTCATATGAAGTATAAACTACATCATTAGTGTTCGTTTTTTGTGTTGTGTACATGTATGTAGTTGCCATGCAAGAATAATCTTCCCGTAGCGTGCTGTTTTCATATTCTGTTATTGATATCCAAATAGAAACGCCCATCGTGTAATGACATCTACAGTGACGTTTTCCCAATCATTTTACACTTCAGACATGGCCTGTCACTCGTAACATCGAGAAGTTCAGAGTACAAGGTACTTTTTGTAGTCGTTTTTTACCTGTCGGCTTCGCGCAGAGCCTGGGCAAGGACGATCGAGAATCAAGGGGCTTCTCCTGGCAGATTAGTGCGCGTCAGTTTATGTAGCCTTTAGGCAAGGCTATTTTCAGTTCATGAGGCCAACTTTTTTTTGACTGAATTATGAAGCCGCGAGACATGCGCGCGTGCGTAGTGCACATATAAATCTGAGCGTGTCTACAAAAAGGCTTTTCTTTTGCTTCGTTAGAAGCACCGATTTGGCCAGTTCTCGCTGGCCGTAGTATATTGAACAAGTTCAAATAATTGTTATAAAATACCATAAATAAATACATGTGCTACATGATAACGAGTCCAATTTGAACAACGAAGAAACAAAATTAATGTGCAATTTTGGAACGGGGTAGCTGTTACCAACTAAGAGTGGACATTCTGCATTCTTTGGTTGCCCGTGAGAAAATCGGTCAGTGTAAAGAAAAGAAAGGTTCGTGTAAAACTCGAGGGAACAATAGTAAAGAGTGTCGTGTCTGTTGCATGCCAACAGCGTCTCAAAGGTCTCCTATTATTAAGCAGAGGCTGTATTACTGATGAACAAGAAAATAAGGGGAAAAACAACCTTTCGGGAATATTCCTGGGAAACTACGGAGGGAAACGCATGCTTCGTAATTTCAGAGTATGTAGAGTACAAGCCTTCGTGTGATCACTGGCAATCGGGATAAACCTTTAAAAGAAAAGAAATGATGTTGTTTGTTGTAAATTCCTCTCGCGAGAGCGAACATCTATTCGGGCTGCAGATTTTCCCACCATTAGACAGCAATGATGGCGGCAGCACTGGAGAAACAGTGGAAGAATGTATCATCATATACGACCTCTGCTCTCTTCGTTGCGAAATACCTGCGCAAGCTTATAAGGAAAATTGTCTATATGGTGTAGGTGTTAGGATCAAGACTTTACGTCACTGCTGGGGGAGTGATAAGTGCCATGGTGAATTGGGCATGCCTCCGCATCGCCCCCGCATGAAATCTCTTCCCATTTTGTCACCTGCTCAACTTTAAGGAGAAAAGGCATGATGAAATCATCAGTACCATCCTACACGGCATTGTTTCCTCTGATTTCCTTGGTGCCAGTTAGACGCTCCATTTTGGAAAGTACGTGGTATTACAACTGTGTTAATTGTATTTGTTTTGACCCAAAAGCTGTTGTAAATGGTTCAAAGTTGCTACATGGATGTCCTCCAAACTCCCAAAGTAAAGAAATGGCATTGAATTTTTTTAGGTGCTGGGGGTGTGGGTGGGTGGAGTGGGGTGCAACCAAAGATCTGACTGGCTATGAGCAGAGCTGAATTGGAATGCATGTCTAGACATGTGTCTCTGTGGTCAGCCCATGCCACAAACATCAAAGGGGTCCCACCCCACTGAAAGGGTCCTTGGAGTGCATTTCCATTGATAAGTGCAGGCCTGATGTGAACAATCACTTGGGACTCACATCTGGAAGATTTTTGTACACAGTTCAACGGGCCTTACTCGGGGACCGGCTCGAATATTTTTTTCACGGCCAAGGGGACGGCCCCTGTGTATACAGCAACTAAACCAAGCTTTTCCGCATGAACAGAGGTAGGATATCGTGGAAGGTTTTGATAGGTGGCCTAATTTTTTTTAATCAAGTAATAAGCAAAGCGGCACTCCAAAATGGAGCATATATTGCTGTAGGCAGGGTTAACCTGCTGAGCTCCCCCTCAAGAATATATTGCTGCCTTCTCAGGAAAGTGAGCACCTATAGGGTATGCTGTGCCAGTGCAGACTGGAACAGATTCCAGATTAAGTCTACGCTACTAGAAAAGTGGCTGACAGCTTACTGGAATCCTGAGCAAGGTATCTCTTTTTTATTACATTACACGTACATGTGCATGTCACTTTTCAGTAATGGCATACCAACTGCAAGTGGCTGTGCCAGACCTCGGTAGCTGTGGATGCAAGTGTGGGGCAAGGCAGAATTGTGTGGGTGCATAGTGGTCCTGGGGTACGATGCGGAATCGTAAACCGAAAAGGTTGATCGCCCTGTCGTAATATGTGAAAATTTTTTGTGGGTGCAAACGTGGGTGCAAGTGGCTTCTCAGTGGGTACATTTGCACCCACATGACACCACGTCGGCCCGCCACTACCAGATGCAAATCGCTGCCTTTCGTAACGGGCCTAAAGGTATAATAAATGTTGGTATCACACTGGTGGTTACAACTGCGAGCCGCTACTACAAAACAAAATACATAATTCATACACTCACTGAAAGACTTGGCTTGCGAGAGTGCGGTGAACCACACAAGAAATGTCCCTTATTGGCCACCGTAACGATCGGTTTCGGTTGATGTGCTATGCTTGAACGGCATCACTGAGCGCCACCTGACGCGGTTAATTCCCTTCTGGCGTCACGTCGAGCGGCAAGTCCAAAGATCGCTTACTTTAGCCCCACACTTCAACTAGACTAAACATTATCAAGACAAGAGATAATACAGATTCAAACTCAATTATTCTCATTGCTTGACCAGCAGTCTGAAGTATACAGGCACCCTGACACCGCCTCCGTTGTAGACAGCAAGGATGACGATTCTCTCAAAGTCCAAAGCCATCTTCGTGAGGCTGCTCTTCGGGGCGCACGGCACGCTCGCGGTGATCGCGTTGGTCAACATCACGGAGATCCGGTGGTTCTACCTGGCCGAGTGTCTAGTGGCCGTGTCCCTCCTTGAGGCTTTCGTGACGCTGAAGGTGAACAAACACGCTGAGTGGAAATGGTAGGGCATCCGATACAGCAAGTCTAGTTTAAAATGCATCGGTGTAAACATTGTCTATTGTTCTATGTGCCTTGTGCAGATTGTTGCATTTTCATTTCCAGGGATACTTCAGAATCACCGTTCACACATCTGTCGTACACATGTATTAATCATTAGTCGTGATGGCTTTCTGTTGTAATAATATGCTCCCCTTTGCGAATTTTGTTTCGTCACTGACTTGGAATCTTCTCTCGCTCATTCATTTTGAAGTTGCCGATAGAGTCTACCTAGGTGTGTCCTCTATGCAGCTGTATCCCTTCCTTCTCAGTGGTATGAGAGGGAGTTTGTTTCAGTCTGTGGTAAATTACTTACACGCTTCTGGCACCACAGGCTGTCTAGCTAATATTATGCAGGTGGCTGGAAGCCTTCCAGCATTTTTGTATGAAATTTGATCCCAATGGCCAATAATTCATAGAAACAGAGAACTTTGTGAGCTTTCGTAATGAAGTCGTCAGATGCAAATCTAGTAGCGTAGAACGTTTGTGTATAAGTATGTTCAGGTAAAATTCAGTAGGACAGTGGTTTTATTTTGGAACTCAACTTTTGCCAACATTGACTATTTTGATGTTTTAATTTTAAAAAACTATTCAAAGGGCGTGTGCACGTCAGACAGGGCACCCTAGATAAGACGTCATAATTTATTTTCGTTATCGACGGCCATTGGCTTGGCTAATAGAGCCGTAACAGAGCCTGAAAGTTGACCCCTGGTGGCGCGCTTCTGGAACCCTTGAATAGGAAAAATAACGTGCAACAATTTTAGAATTCGTCATTTTTCCGTGCGTTTACTTCTTAAAACATCACCTCAGAAAAAGGAGTTTGTAAAATATTTGCTGGCATACAAATTTATACATACTGAAAAATTACCTAAACTGAAAGAGAAATGTTATCCCAAAATTTGACCTCTCACTTCCGAAATATATATACATGAAGACCTGTGCAATTCAGTGGTCTCGTACGCAGATGAACAATTATGACATTATATTGAATGGCAGTCTTGCAGTAAAAGCTAAAATAGAAACGGATCAAAATATTTAAAGTATTTTACTATTAACATGGAAATGAACTTAAAGGAATACGGTAATCTGCGTTTCTAAAGTTTAATCTAACTGTTGCTGAAGAATGGCGCCAGGTCAACTCGAATGAATCTAGAAACCATCGACTGCAAGTACATAAATATTTGCTATGTTTTACAATCTCGTTTTCACGTAAGCTCCTTAATTAAGTGAAAACAAACGCGCATGAACGAAGAGTCCTAGGAACGATACTCGTTGTTTAGGCCCCCTACCTATCTCCAGGTGATTTTCCAAAATATTACTTGAGGAACACAAATGCAAAATTCTTATGTCAATGTTTCTTAGATTAGTTTCAGTGAGGAATAATTCTGCCATTAACTGTCGCAGGTGATAGGACGAGAATTCCATAAGCTCGCGGCGTGACCGTTTACTTTCAGGCTCTATACGGCCAGAATTATATAGCTTATTGTCCCATGACACACACTGTAAGTACATTTTGTGAAGTTAATAATTTCAATAAGATGAAGTCTTTAATAAAATGTTTATTCAGGCGAATCACTTTTTAGACGACATCGGACAAAAAACAATGAAGACCATATTTGCATAATAGGTTCCTGATAACCATATGTTGCTGGTAATTGGTATCAGCCACTCGCCAAAGCAAAAGATCTACCAAAAGAAAAAATCAAATGATCAAATAACAGTAGTAACTCCAACAAGCGGACTGAATTTTTTTCTAGATGTGGGCTGGGGGTGACTTGCCCGTCCGTGGAAATTTGAAAAGCGGGGGAAAACGGACCAAAAATTGGCACTCTTAAATGTTGTATCCTTTCTTCTGTTTCCCCAATGCTGTGGCAGGATGAGGCTTAACCAGACACTAGGCAACTGTTTTTTAATTCTCGCAATGTATTGGCTACTGACATTACGGCGCATGCTAATGTTGGTCATGCCATTATTACTGCATTTTGCCTTGCCATTGGGTAAATTGAAAATGAATAGGCCACAACGTAGAAACTGGTGTGTTTTCATCTCCTTTCAAGGCACTCACGAGCGTTGGTTGCAAAACTGATTTTTCTTATGTATACTCAGCTGGTTCAGACTGTAGTTCAGATAGATCTATAGTAGTCTTTAGCACTAGAAGATTCTAAATTCCCACGAAACCCATACATACCAACCACTGGTAGATGACAGACCACACGATAAGCCACGGTTATTTAATATGTTGATAGAGAGGTGTCGGGTGATCTGTTGGAGACAATTAACGAGGACAAATGACACCAGGGAACATTCCAAGGGAGGCCATCCGAAAATCAACTTTGTAAATTTACAATCCTGACATCATACGCATCGTCGAGTACCATATGGGTTTCAAAGAAGGCGATTATTAGGGCAATAGCCTGGCCATATTAATTATTAATTTTATTATGGAGATTCTCATACTGTGCTGCGGCCATGTTATGTTAGGATACTTAGATTAGATAAACCTACCACTAGCTTTTACATTGTATTCCAAGACTTCAATAATTAGAGGCCAGAGTTTGGCAGAATCTTTGCTAAATGAAAAAAGCAACAACGCTAACAATTCGAAAGAGTTTAGCAGAATCTTTGCTAAATGAAAAAAGTAGCAACGCTAATAATTAGAAAGCGAGGCTGTTATCCGAACGCCATTTTTCCCACGAAGGCCTCACGCAGAGGCACTATTTTCATTGCCGCATAAGCTGAAAGGGAATTACTTTGACATAGTTATGGTCTGCTACGACCGTTTTGCTTTGAAACTTAATCCAAATTTTGTATTTTGTCTTACTTTTTCCACATGCCAAACGAGAAGGGGGGGTAGGGAGAGTGGTGCATGGGGTGGGGAGAGTGGTGCATGGCCCCCTCCCCCGACGGTTCAAGAGGCGTTGATCAATAATCCCTTTCAAATTCCAATAATTATATGTCAAATTATTTGTTTCTTAGATTTTTCTTAGATTTATTTCCTACGAAGGCGAAATTTGCAATTTATCTGTTTTTTTTTTCAATATGAATCGCTTGCGCAAATTCGAGCAAATGAATTCGAACGCACATTTCATAAGTCAACCGCAAAAGGCAATGTATTGCAATTGTTCTCCTTTGTATATAACATTTGTTCTCATGCATTTGTGGAGTATGGCAAATGCTGATCCAGTTGGTACTGTTTAACGACCGCAGCTACAGTTCCACTTTGGTGAATGGTCTGAAAAGATCAGATATAGGTACTTTAAACACACACACAAAATTTGCATTATAGATAAAGAGTCTTTTGCGTCAGGATGATTTGAGGGATTCTAATTAGGTTAGCCATTTAAATGTGGAAAGAAAGAAAGAAGCCGGTCACGCATATAACGAGGAGTCTATGCACCGTGGTAATTTTCAGTCAAGGGGGCCGACTGCATGATGTTTTGACGTTCTCGACTGTTATCGTATTCAGGCCTCTCCATTTATCATGCGCATATATTCTGGCTTATGTAATGACCAGAGCCAACTGCAACTTTGCGCCCACATCTTTGTGGGGACACTACCCCCCCCGCGGAATTCAACCCCCCTCCTCCAGAACCCTAATTTGTAATTTTGAAATGCGCATAGCCTATCTACGAACAATACTTCACTTGCTTCCAGTGCCCCTTGAAAAAAGTGAAATTTCACCCCAGGTATGTTACTCTTCTGCTGATATGCAGAGGTTTCTGCAATGGCCTTCTGGGAAGATTTAACGCGACTGTTATTATACACAGATGACTGATACGTGCTGGTCAGCCCACGTATCCTTTCATGTACATCTGACGAGGGTCCGAATTTGAGTATCGGGAATGAATGCTATGCACAATGACAGTCCTTTTCCTATGACCTGCACATTGTTATCACGTGGGTGGACAACTTTGGTGAATTTTTCTTTGTAAAGCGCCGCCAAATATTGAAAGGTGTATGTCGTGCATGTACTCGTTTAGGAGTCAATCCCACTCAGTCCAATCTCAGCTTTGCAAATATTCTTGATTTTTGTTTTTCTATTCAGAATTTGACCAGCGGCTGCAGCGCTACATTGGTTGGGACAAAATTAGTTTCTCTTGTCCCCCTCCCAAGTTGGCTCACATTAACACGTGACTTATAGAAGATTGATTGACGTTGGTAGTATCTAGGGTTTGTATAGCACGCATATGAAATTTTATTATTTAATGGCTGATTTTACTCTATCTTGGCTCACATCGTGCCTGTGCTCAGCGTCATTTTAGCCCCAAAATAGGCCCCTATACATTATTCGTATATTGGTGGCCAATGTTTGCAGAAAATGTAACCTTTTGTTAGTGTCGGATTTTACCTCAAGATGTACATGAACCCTATTTCTGTGTTAAAGAGGGTGGTATTTTCATATAGCATTTAGTGGAAAGTGAAATATTTTCTTCGCATGTGTACTGACGGCTAGCCATAGTTTTACCAGCCAGTGGAGCAAAATGTGACTTTGACGTAAGAAGAGCAGGCCCTAATGAGAATTTGGTGCGTCGGGCCCATCACTACCATTCGTGAAGTGTTTGTATTGTGCTGAAATTTCTGTTCCAGAGATAGCGACTGTATGCAAAACTCATATCATAAGGGTGCATGCGTGTCACAGCCAGTTAACTGAGATCTGTAAGGACTGAGTCAATAACTCGACTTGGCTCTAGCCCCAACAGGTAAATAACTCGACTTGAATCGAGTCACCGCGAGCAAATGAGTCGAATCAACTCGAATCCCGCATCAGAGGACCAGACTCGAGTAACAGTTAATATAGGACTCGAGCCCCCAAAATAAAATCAAACATCTTTGCCAAAAAAAAAAAAAGATTTGCAATGACGTAGAGTGCCGGGTATAATGTTCGTGACATGTGTTACTGTCACCGTGAGTAAGACGTCGTGTGACCATGTAGAAACCCAGAGGTAAATTAAAAAAAATACAAACATGGATTTTTATGTCTTGATTTTATTTTTCTTATTGTGTTCAGATTTTTGTGACTCGAGTTGCTTCGAGCTGACTCTACTTTTTTCCTTTTAATGACTCGACTCCAGTCACTACATTGTAATGGCTCGACCCTACACGAGTAACAAAAATCAGTGACTCGTTACAACTCTTGTGGATAGGGAGTCCTAAGATTGAAGGAATAGTTCCAACCTTAATGTTTTTCTCGATTGTCATAATTTCTTTACAGGTTTCTGCCCAGCGTTTTCCTGTACTTGCTGTGGATTGTCCCTCCCATTGTGCTACTGGAGTCCTACGCCATGGACTATCGTCAGTTCCGGCTCGACATGTCCGAAAACGGTCGCTGCTTTGTCGATTTCAACGACGTTTGTGTCGGCCAGAATGGTAGCATCGATTACGTGGACAACAGTGAGGTTGATATGTCTAACGGAGTACTCGATCAGGTGCATCATAATGTGATAAAAAGCTGTTAGTATGATTGCATGAAATCCGGGAAGAATACCCAGATTAACGAGTTGGAAAATCCACATAATAAGATAGGAGTGAGAACCCTGAGCAATGAACATGTCGGTCTGTGTGGGAGGGATTTGGAACTCGCGCAGAGCTTGAAGGCAAGAAAAAAAACCAAAAAACTCCGCCGACCTGACTCCAAAAACTTCTTACTTTACCGTCGTCAGATCACGCCCCTGTTCCCGTGTAACCTGAGGGTAAATTTAATAAGCTGGTAGCAACTGATCTTTTCTGTTAGCGACTCCCACTCAGCAAACTCCGAACGATCCCCGTGATCATAATCCTTCTAACGAAGCATGACGTTTGACTTGAAAGCGATTACTCATCTCCGAATCGTAATATTTATCTTGGCTACAAATTTGAATTTATCAAAGGGATCCGTTAAAGTGATCTTCATGTACCATACTGCTCCTCCTTTAAGTACAAAACATAACAAGGCTTACATTGAAAAACCTATTCACAAATAAACAATTGATTGTTAGCCACCGAGAAAGCTCTCATTAATATCAGTCTCCTTAGGTGTCTTTGTTTTAGGAGAAAATTACTGTATATCCATTCACTGCTGTGAGATATTTAGAAAGACCGGGGCTTATTTTATTTGCTGTTTGTTCAATCTTTGCAGACGACATACGACGAAGCCCGCCATTACGCTCTCGTCTTCCAGCAAACGATGATGTTGGTTCTCATCGGCGGAAGGTGGCTGGGTCCCAAGGGGGCCCTCACTCGCGACCAGTTGTCCCAGCTTCTCCTGGCCCTGACAGGCATGGCCGCCGACATGCTGGAGTTCGTGACGGAGACGGTGAAGCTGGAGGAGACGGCCTGCGACTACCTCCTGATCTATATCATCCTGGGCATCTGGGCCTGGAGCCTGCTGCAGTTCACCTTAGGGCTGACGGCCACCAAGCAGAAGAAGACCAGGGTGGTGGGCCCCAGCCCCTCCGCACGGAACCCCATCACCAGCATCGCCGCCTGCTGCGAGACGGAGATGTGGGCCCTCATGGTTAGCGTCGTCATGCAAGACGGGCCTTACCTGACTGCGCGCCTCTACATCATGTTTACCGTCCAGAACTTTGGCCAAACAATGATATTCTTCACGGCCAAGAACGGCATTCTCTTCTTGCTCCAAGTGTACCGACTGTACGTGGTTATCATCGAGAGACGCCGGGCGGGGCGAGAGGGAAGGAAGTCTAGGGATGAAGAGGAGGAAGAAGACAGCGCATTCGAGATCAAGGAAGCACGAACGCCTACAACACCAATAAATGGATCCTAAGGCCCCTGACCAGGCGAGGCAGATAGTGGAAGTGCAGCAGCTCATTCACGTGAGATGGTCATACTAATGGAGGCCATTGTGGTGTTCAAATAGTGCATTGCACTTCGCCTAAAATGGACATTGATTGTATGAAGGGATATACATCCAGGGCAACTTTGATCTGTGCAGCGGCGCAGCCAGCTTTAAAGATCGGTTCATACTTCATTCGAATGTAAAATCGAAGCAAATTGACTCACAAAACATTTGCAAAGGAGTTCCCTTGAAACTGGTTCCTAATGGAGCGAAGACTACACTATCCAATCAAATCATGTTGAGCGGGGATGAGAAGTTCAACTTCTCTCAGTGAAAGTGCTGAGTCATTTATTGCACAATGGGGAGCAATTACCCTACATTTCTCATGAAAACATAAACGGTGTTCTTATACGATCTGCCAAAGGGAATGTATTAAATTAAGGGAACTCTTATTGTTGCATACCATTTTTTGCAATCAGTGTTCATAAGTTCATTACGTTATTCTCATTTATTTTAATGTTTTACAAATGTTACTGTGCACTGGCTATTTTAGAGGGATGATACATTTTGGACTTCTTGGAAATGTACCTGCCAACCCAACCTTTGTCCTGTGATCTATAACGCCTTGTGTAGACAGCAATTATCAAACTTCCGAGTTTCCGCATTTCCATGACGGATAAGTGATCTTGGAAAGATGGCACATGGAGATTTTTCAGTTTTACTTCTTTCCCCGATAACCCTATCTCGGAAAGACGTCATCCTCTGATATCGTGTCCAGGAAAGAATGTTTCCTAATTATACGTTATAAAGTATTTCGAAATGATATCGTGTCTCGGAAAGATGTCCAAACTTGGGTCCATGTTTCAAAGCCGACAATCAAACTTGAGTTACCTAACCGTGGCGCGTGTGTGTGTGACACACAAATCGTGCAGTCGCACAAAAAAGTACTAGACATGAATACACGGTCCGCTAAAGATAGGACGGGCCACAGGGCTTCTCAGTCCCAACGTGTTGAGGAAGAGATCCTGGCGAAAATGTTGGTTGAAAATGTCAACGGTGATAAGGCAGTGGCCTTCGCGAAACCAATGACAATTCACTTCACGTAAATACTCCTATAGCCTGTTGGATAGCAAACCCCTAACTTGGGAAATCGCAGTGACAAAGTATGCAGGCTGCTGTGGTGTAATTTGAGCCTGAAGCTAACTAATTCTCGCGCTTAAAAAATTGTTATTCCTTTTTGAAGTCCAAAAAATCGCCGGAACAAAATGTACCTGTTAGTTTTGACATCAAAGAGGACATCAACTTTCATTGAAGTCTTTGGACAGGTTTTTCTTTGCCACAGAGGACAGAACACACAGGAAACGAAGAGTACGTTTCCCTGTCCTGAATGGTAAACCATGCTCAGTGGTAGGTGCTTGTAGTTAGCCTATGGCATAGTGTCATCATTATTGCTGGAACAAAGGCCAACATAATCCCCTCCTCGGCGGTATAGCAAAACACGACTGTGAATATAAATGCGTGGCATCTGGGGTTTTCTGGGAATGAAGCATTTGATACTTACAACAAACTCATGTTATTTAGGTTTCGCTAAACTCCATTTTTTGAAAGTTCAAACTCTTCATTTCTGCTACCTTTTTAATGGCATGCAGATTTTATTCTGAGTGTGGTTCGGCCGTAGTGTAACAATCAATTGTAAATAAAAAAGGATGAAGTATGGGAGACGAAGAAAAAAACAATATTTTGTCAAGTGTACTTGGTTTGGCTGCACATTATTTTTCCTCATTATCCCATTTAATATTTTTGGTGGTTTTTTGTGTACAGTTCACTGTTACACATATGAGGTAACTTTTGCAAGTAGTTTCATTTGAAATATTTTATCATTTAGCTTATACTTAGCTTTTTAGCATTGCTTAGAAATATATTTGTTATTCTTAGGTAACTTTAATTTGCTTAGTCGGGGACCCTTTATGAACCCCCTATCTTACTAATGAGTCCATCTTCAAAAATAAACTTGTTAATGTTTTGTTGCCACAGGTCGGGTAAGGACAATCCCTTAAAGTCTTAGCGTCTTACTTGAAGAAGTTTGTTGTATCATTGGAAACCGTGCACGATATTGGGCCAATGGGTAACCCCCCCATATCCAATCCCTATACACACTCTAGACTATTGTTACCTAACACATCCCCGCAGAAGTCTTTAAAGAATTCCGGAGATTCCGATCAAACAATGACCAACACAAAGGTGGGGGGGTTCTCTCCGCCCCATATCTTGCATCATATGGATCATAGAGGAAGGGAGGAAGGACATAGGAGTTTAAACTGCCTGGGCTATAACATCAGTGCTGGCCAATTACTGCTTTCTGGCATGCCTGGTATGTCCATAGCCAGAGCGCAGTGCATGCTTGCTACGCACCACAAGCCGCCTTTGTCCCCCATGATCACCGCCGCAATTTTTCGTTAGGAAACTGCACCCCTAGAACGTTATGTACTGCAGTATAGGAAGTTGAATATTCATGCCATCGTTGGTGCTTGATATGATTTGACAACAACATCAAATTTAGTGCTTGCGCAGTTGCTTTTATTAGGCTGTGTACATGTACCCGAAGTGTTCATGTGCAATTGTTTCCCTTATCGAATGCTTTCTTCTGGACTTCTTTGGGAATAAATATGATCCAAGCTGTTTGTAAGATTTTGAGTTTTTTTGAATCATTTTATCACGGAATTTACACAAAAAGGTATTTATTGAGATCTCATGCATGATCACTCCCTGTGATGGAACAGTGCATTTTGTTTTTCGTGAACCTTTTTTTTTTTCGTTTCGCTCACTATTTCTTGTCCTTTTCCCTCCTGTTTATTGCTGGTTTTTGCTACTACGCCGATATCCATACGTGATTCTGAAAGGATTAAAAAATTGTGCTTTTGGGCCTACAATAAAGCGCATGACCATGCTGAACCTGGTCCTGAGAGTTTTATAGAGGGCGCTGCTTCGAAAGCTTGTTGATCAGCCACTCTAGTACAGTACATGTCTCTCTGTATTTGCACGGGGGTAATGCAAGGCCAACGGCGTCAACGCCTTTCGCTGTCGACGGCGAAATTTTTGCCAAGGTTGACAGTGACCTTCAACGCAACCAGACACTTTTTCAGGAGGTTAAGCAGAATAGTCTTTATGTTACGATCCGGCTGTTAAAAATCTTAGTGAAATGCATATAGTCGGGGCGACATTTGCGGGCGCTCTTCAATAACTGTGGATGAGTTCGGTGGCGTGTTTTCGCACGGTTTCACAAACGGCTCGATTTCTTGTTCGTGGGTCGGCCGATCGAATAGCGGGAACGCACAATCGGTTATTGCTGGTACATGTACATGTAGTTACAGCAGTGACGTAACTGCACCGAAGGGCTATTATGTCCGTGGGGGGGGGGGCACCCGGGGGCACGGGCATTCGGGGGGGGGGTGCCTCCGTGCCCCTCCCGTAGTTACGCCATTGAGTAATAGCGACAATCAACTTGTACCATGGCAGTGTACCTGTACGTTATTGAAAAGAAGCATTTGTTTCTGTATAATTAAAATTTATCAGCGTTATTTTTACAAACTTTCCCATAGTCTCCGGTGTTGTCAGCCATCTGGCTATTTTTTGCGGCTTTATTAATAACCAAAGTCACGCTCGTTTTCTTGGGTCGTGTTCCCGCCGTTAGAGAGAAAGAACAAGAAACCCGAGTCAAGACGAGGCCGCCCAAACTCCAACATGAGTGTGCTGTTTCATACATACAGATTGAAATTTCACTGCATGGCCTGGACCGATTCTTTCTATTTCTCATTTGAGGGAGTGTGGGACGGTATAACTCATGACCTTTACTGCCCTCAAAACATCATATCACACTTTAAAAATGTAGGCCTTAGGCCTATGCGGATTTTGATTTTAACAGGCCTATAATCATATTGTATGAACACAAAGAAAACAAAACACATATCAAAATGAAATATAATACAAAGGAAAGAAAGACAGACATGGAAAAAAATTACAGCCAACGAAAGAGTATTATATAGATGCTTGTTTAAGTGGGGATTCTGTGACGTAATGAGCTATGCCCTAATGCATGGTAAATTCGACTTCATGCCAACAATCAGTCTCTTTTCTTCAAGGTAGCTGAGCTTATAAACGAGTTGAATGGGCAATCCGGGAAGTGGGTAGGTGGAATTGTACTACATGTATGTACCACTGAACTGATGTCTTTCCTCCATTGATTGCTTATTAGTTTGCTCCGAGGGCGTGCTTTGCCCATCACTGGAAAGATACAGTTAAGAGCTTTGCATGGTAGCGACGATGGTTATACATGTACCTTAGGTTGACTATAGGCCTAGTCTAATGGATTACAGCGTAAAGGCCTATACAATACACACAAGGCGGTAAAGATTGATAAAGATTTTATTCTAATAAAATATTGAGATGGCGTTTATAGTGTCGTCCATTTTAGAATATTCCCCACTCATTTTCCGGGAATGCCGCTGAGGCCATTTTTGTTCCCACCGCGTAGCCTGCCGTGTTTCAATTTTTTGTTCTTATTGAGAATGGTTCTGTTACCCCACCATAAGCACAACTCCATCTCATACTAGTGTTTCTTTTTTAAAGTGTCGCACTTGTTGATAACTGGGAAAGAATAAGGAAGTAATGCTGAAAAAAGTTGTTTGCTTGGAAAATGCTCTTTCGGGGGTTAACTTGGAACCTTATAACAAGGAATTGAAATCATAACGTGGAGGATACTAGGAAAAGGGTTATGCTTTACTTGTGGCAAGTTTCTTATTGTCTAAATTTTAGTGCCCTGCAGAGAAATAAAATGTATCACAGAACAGCTTATACCGTTTCATCGATCATTTTTCTCCAGACTCTACCTCTCAATCTAGTTTTATTCGTTGGTGCTTTATAATGATCATTATTCCGATAAACTTACGTGCCTGCTATTTTTCATCTGCGAGTTAAAACGCAGGGGGAAAGAGTGTAAGGTGTATAGATTAAAAATATGAAACTGTGATAATCTGTAACATAGAAATAATAATCTTTTCCTTTCAATTCGTACCCTCTAGGAGAGGAGGTTGTACGCTCGAGAAATTGATGAGAAAAAGGGATGGACCGTTGTACCATAATGTTCTCAATAAGTATTTCTTTCAGTTTGACTTTGGCGCCACTGAAGCGCGGTTGTTAAAGCTCCACGCATTGGTCGTGCCATTCGATTCAGTTGGGAAACCCGTCATTCATAAATCAACCAAGATGGCGGTCGGTTCCGCAGTAAAGGCCGATCGCACTTGTTGTGTTAGTGCTCATCTCGAAGTTTGAGTATCAGTTCGTTCACTTTATCTTGTTTTGTTCAGTTTTCTAAAGTATGCTACAGTCGCCACTAATCCAAAGATAGGGAGACAGTGTTTGTTGTCAGAATGGCAAATACAAGGCGAAGAGTGAAGCTCTACGTTCTCAACGACGACCGACAGTGGGACGACAGGGGCACTGGTCACGTATCGTCGTGTTATGTGGAGAGATTGAATGGGATGTGCTTACTTGTGCGATCTGAAACGGATGGTAAATCTTATTAGTATGGGTTGTTATATGCAGAGTTATGTATCTAGCACTGAAAACAGTTTGACTAGGCCTTTACTACAGACTTCATCGCCATGATTCATGATGGTGATGAGAATTCCTCATCCACATGACACGATCAGGTCATGTTCGTGCTCACTGACTCTTGTGCAACTTATTCAGTTATTGTACAGTGTTGTACCCCTCCTGAATTGATTATCCTATGAGAAGGTTTCATTCAAAGGCAGATCAACACTGGATGGAAATAAATAAATTTGGGCACAATTCAACAATGCGTAAGCCTAAACATTCATAGCCTAGGCCTACAGTGTACATGTACTCTAGGGGCCTACTCCAGCTGACCAACCATGCCAACATGACCAAACTTGTAGAACTTAGCCTGTCTCTACATGTAGGTTACATGCACATGATGTAACCTTAGGTTTTGAGGTGTTAGCCTATGTACCGGGCTCAGACAACTCAACTGTTTGCCAACTTGACTTGGAACAATTCAACCGATGGGGTAACTCAATCGTCTATGCCTCAGATTGTCAGATGGACATGATGGATGGACAGACAGCTTGATTGCAGGGACAAATCCATTGAGACAAGCTGACTGGTAATGGGTGCGCTTGTGCTTTACATATTACAGTCCGACAGTGACATCATCCACCAGTGTTCTAGTTAGGACCATTTTAGTGCCGGGTAGATTTTTGGATTACAAAGCATAGTGAGCGCAGTTCCTAAAGCTTTCTGATGCTCTAATTACGATCGAATTGGTAATTTAAATTTTCAGTTATACATGTATTTCAGTTCATTTTTTGGAAAATCCATGCTGGGTGGCACAGCCAATTTCAACCCTGAGTGCCGGGCGAGAATTTGCTGTACCAGGTGGTGCTGCGCGGCATCGCCCACTGCGGCTAGAACCCTGTCATCCACACCTTTTCATCAAATCAACAGAGAAAGACTAGAGGACAGATTTATTGCCTCCCATACTGGCAGATTAGCAACTGATCACTGGTGCAGCTGAGGCACCTTTGAACTGCGAACTGTGCGTTGCGCGCCAGCATGCATGCACATCACCATTGCGGACATGCACTGCTTGGTTAGGGCGGCCAAGGCGCACCATTCAGTTCGATGCGTGCTTCGTCACTGGGTCACTATGCACGGCATGCCCGGTGAGGTGAGTTGCAACGAGTAACACGACACGCAAGTTTTCCAAATACATGATTTGTACTCTTTGTTACATGCCTGAAACTCAGTCATGTACATGTACTTGCCTTAAATGTTTGAGTCGTCTTAATGGATGACTTGGTCAACGGTAGAGTTGTCCCACTGGTGGAGTTGTCTCAATGATCGAGTTGTCCTGAGTCAAGTTAGCAAATGGTTGAGTTGTGGACACCCCTGTGTACAACTCGCATAAACACAGTTTTGGCTCTGTTGATTGGAGGGTGGATATACATGTAGCTGTTACTGGCTAAATTTAATCCCATCCCCCTCAGCATTTTTTCTAGAAGGCTGACTCAACCCGTCAAATTTTAACACCCTTTCGCTGCTGGGTGGGGTGTATGTACTTAACCTGCTGGATTCCAACAGTCTACTTGCTGTATCAGTACTCAGTCCAACAAACTCCAACAGGCAGTAAACTGTTGGATTTTGGCTGAGTGGAGATGTTACGCCCCAACTATAGCATCAGTCCCAACTATAGTTGGGCCCATCCCAACAATAGTTGGGCCCGTCCCAACTATAGTGCTACAGTTGGGCCAGCCCAACTACAGCAGAGGGGTCCAGTATGCATGATGTGACCTGCATGTGCCAAAGTCATATTGTTTACAAATGTCATGTCATTGGTCATAGGGCTAGATGTGCAGGTGAAGTGCCACATTTTAGATGAATTGTGTCACGTGTGAGACACATTGACTTGGATAATGCTTAGACATTTTCCATAGACATTGGTCAACAATAGTTGGGTCAGCCCAACTGTAGCCCTACAGTTGGGACTGCCCCAACTATAGTTGGGACTGATGCTATAGTTGGGGCGTAACAGAGATACTTGGTCATATACTATGTATAAGAATGGGGGTACAGCGGTTTCATTCCTTCAAGATCCAACAATTGCAGGGCTATACAAAATTGTTTTTTGGGGGGCGGCTCAGATTTCTTTGTTTTTATCTGTGACTATTCTTAATAAAGCAAGGTCACCAAACATTCAAGAGTAAGTTATTCTACTCTTTAAGTACAGGTACATGACCAAATGACCCTCATTGTTTACAGGCACACACATACCAGCAGCATTAATCAGCAAACATCCAGCAGCAGGTACTAGGCAATACTGACCATACCCACTCAGTCAAAACCTAACACTGCTACTGCATCTGTACAGTACTCATCCTGTCATAACCCAACACCTTATGCAGCAAGTTTCATATACAGTACACGTATGCACACATAACTCAACCCATCAAATTTCAACAAACCCTGGTGTTGTAAATTGATGGGATGAGGAACGTTAGGTTTAATGAAATGACGGTGAGCCACCTACATGTACATGTACAAGTAGACAGCGCCCTCTTTGAGCAGACAAGTGAGCCTATAAAGGTTAAATTACATGTAGCACTGGACTTTAAGCTGGGTCTGTATTCTAGTGGATGGTGCATTTATGTTGAGAGTGAATGTGAAGTGCTTTCAACTGGATTTGATATTTGCCAACAGTGTACGAATTCCTTTTTTACCCTTCCAAATTAAGAATGTTCTTTTTAAAATTTCTTAATTGACTCCAATATTGAATTACAAGGCATTACATGTGGCTCTGGGGGATTTTTTTGGAAGGGGGAGAAGTCCGAAGTTGTACGTGTAAAATGGTCTGATTCCAACCTCATGAACACAAAATCACAATGACTATGTTGGCACAAAACTAGATGATGATTTGTCACGTTAAGTATTTTTAATAAAAAGGAAAATACATGTACCTTACTGAGCGTGTGAACAACTTAAGATTGTTCAGTTCAATTTCCTAGCGACGGCTAAATATCTACTTCCTTTGGATTATGCCAACTTATTCAGCCGTCACAAATATTTGTGCAACAGAATTTTGTACGTCCCTGTTTGATGAGGTGAGATGTCTGTTGGGGAGGGTTTTTCACCTTATATCTCATTACACCTGCTTAAAAAGTCTGGCAAAATGATGACCAATATTGTATTGTAGGCCTGTTGCTTGTGATCATGAGTAGAGGGTCATTTGTTTGTTGGGTGTCCTCTCGGGTTTCCTCAGTTGTTTTCCTTGCCATTTCACCTATCTTCAGGTTCAATTCTCTTGGAATCCAAGATTCAACTGGATACTGCCTACCAGAAGCAGCAGGTGAGGTTCTCCCGTGGAAATATTATGTATGACATCTGCATGTACATGTACAGACTTTAGTCAGGATACTTACTTACAGTGCCTGGAGATTCGATCCCAAGAACTAAGCTGAATCTTTACCAGAGGACGCTATTGTGATGCTAAAGTCAAGTCGGTCTCAGCAAATCGGGCAGATTTAACTAAGACATTCAGAGTATACTACAGTTGAGTATTTACACGCATGGAAGAACTTCAGTCATTATGCATGGGGGTGCATTATCAATCCATCTGATTGCTACACTTATGTTTATTTGCATGTTATCCTTTTACATTGTTATGCTAGATTACTTGCTTGAGATGTGCTCAGAATTTCTTGAGAAACTGAACATGAGTTTGCTCAAATTTTTTTTTCTGAACTTAGATATTGTTCTGTACATACAAGTATGAGTTGGAGAACGGTTGAGTACATGGTTGAGTACATGTAGATTGCATTTGGCATTCTCGTCTTGTGGGGATTTATGTTTTGTGGAATGACATGTTTAAAAATATTTGTAATCTGTTGTGAGGATTATTCAGTCATGCACACATATGCACAAAGCCAGATTTGCTTCATGTTCAATCTACTGATTGCAATACAAGCATTACAGAGGTATAATTTGGAATGGCCTGTTTTGCTGTCTCTGTCAGGTGGGCCAAAGGTCGTATTGGTATCTCTTTGCACCACTAAAACTAACAGTGAGTTAATGTTTTTCTTTGTACGTTGTCAATGGGTAGGAGACCCTCATTGTTTGGTCAGAGAATGACAACTATGACTTGGCACTCAGCTTTCAAGAGAAGGCAGGCTGTGATGAGGTGTGGGAAATCATCTGTCAGGTGAGATACAAGCAGTTGATTAACCCAACGCATGAATCTTTCATCTTATGTAATGCAAGTGTTTGTAATCCATCAGTGGAAACAATATTTCCTATCTGCCAAACAAACTGTGTTTTTTTATATTGTTGCAATCACCTGGATACAGAAGTCTCTAGAAGAAAATGTTTCCCGAAAATTTGCTTGCCCGAGGCAAGATTTTACTTGCCAAACCCTGGTTTAGTTGCTCATAGCTGCGCAAGAACAGTAAGTCCTTCCTTCAACCAATTAAGCTTGGTGAAGAGGGAAAAAATAAATCAAAGGTAAATTTGCTGACTGGTGTTCTTGGCCACGACAGTGGACACTTTTATTTCAACACAATAACTACTTTATTATAATTTTTTCATTATATCGGCACTTTCGATATATCAATTTCAATGTTAAAATGATATCGTTCATATCGATATCGAAGAAAAATCGATATATCAGATATTAACGATATATTGATAGACCTTACAACCAATCACCATATGACATGAATATACATCATCCTAATGTGTGCACGACTCTGATGCATCATTCATACAAGTGCTGGCAATGGTTATTTCTTAACCACTCGAAGATGTTGCCTGGTGACATATACAAAAAGTAACACACAAGTACCAGGCAAAATTCACTGATTTTGAAGTCACAGCCACATGTTAAACAGTCTTCGAGCTTCCAGCTGTCAAAGCTCCACTGCGCCATGCATGCAATAACCAATGAGGTTTGAAACCTAGACACAAGGTCATTTTACGGTTTATTTGTATACGCATTTTCCCTGGTGTGGAAAGGTGCTCTGCTAAATATACAGCATGCTTAATACATGCGAGCATGTACATGTACAAGTATGTACTGATGCAAAAAATTGTTGTACACCACGTAGCTGTTTACTTTCTACCACTTTTTGTAAGCTTTTGTGAAGAGGAAAGCAACAAATTCAAGGTAAATTTGCTGACTGCTAGTCTCAGCCACAAAAACAGACACTTTTATTTCAAGAAAAAAAGTACCTGTCCATCAGGCAATTTGTCTTTCAGTTTTACTTGCCTGAAGGAAGAAATTTCTTATACCGAGCAATCGGACAACTGTTACAGATTGAACATATCTTACTAAGTGAAATCTCTCATTAATTGCTGATTAAAGAGGAAGAATGACATTATTTTTGTAGCTGAAGAGGTTGAAAAAACATCCTAGTTAGTTTCAGTCTACACAGTAAAGTGCACAAGTGTCGTGTGAATATTTGGAATTTAGAAAAGCCAGATTTTATGTAGTCAATCTTTTCGAGTTTTATGGTACATTTGTGGCATTTTTACCCTTAACCCCATATCAGATCCAAGGCAAAGACCCCTCGGTGGACGTGACCCAGGACATCATCGAGGAGTCTGAAGAGGAGCGCTTTGAGGAGATGCCTGATGCAGCCACACCCATCGAGCTCCCCCCATGCGAGCTCAGCAAGCTGGATGAGATTGCAGAGCTATTCAGCAATGTGCTGCCCTCGCCTGTCCGGCGGGAGAAGCTGGCGGTGGCCCTGGAGAGCGAGCGCTACCTGCCCAAGCTGGTGGAGCTCTTCCGCATGTGTGAGGACCTGGAGAATGCCGAGGGCCTGCAGCACCTCTTCGAGATTATCAAGACCTCCATCCTGCTGAACAAGAACTCACTGCTGGAGATCCTGTTCAGTGACGACATCATCTACGACGTCATTGGCTGCTTGGAGTACGATCCGGCGGCCACGGCCGTCCACAAACACAGGGAGTACCTGAACTCCAAGGCCACCTTCAAGGAGGTCATTCCCATCGCTAACCAGGAGTTGTTGAACAAAATCCACCAGACCTATCGTGTACAGTACATTCAGGACGTGATTCTGCCAACCCCATCTGTATTCGAGGAGAACATGCTCACCACCCTCAACTCATTCATATTTTTTAACAAGTTAGAAATTGTAGAGATGATACAGGTGAGGCTGCTTTTTTTATATGTTGCATGGCTTGTTTTGGTGGACAAGCGCTTTATGTTTTTCTTTTCATGTTGTTCCTCTCTTAAATCACTGACCGTTGAAGATAATTTATGCATGTATCCTGTGTACCCTGGGCCGCGGTCCAAATTGTCACTCACTGTTCATGCTGTCTGAAATCGGCCTACATGTAAGTGAGAGATATAAGGCACCAAAATTGGACATGGTTTTCTTAGCTTTCCCATTTGCAGGTGATAAAGTAAAATGATTTTTCAACTCTTACCCCAGTAGAGTGTACACTGTACATGTATATATTTGTGCAGCTGCTACATGGTGCTAATCGTGCCCTACAGAGTGAACATATACATACATATACATCTCCCTAGTGTTGTGAAGGCAAGAACCTTGGCACCTCATTACATCATGGTGTTGATGCACTTGAGGTCAAAGGTTAAATCATAGTGTGCCCTAGCTACCACAGTAGACCAACTGTGGTAGCAGGTGCACTGTGCTGTGGTACCAGATTAGGGTGTCGAAAGATTGATAATATTGCATTTAACTGTTTGCTCGGATTTATAAAGGAGTTCATGTCCCTCAAAATTGCTAATGTTCGAGACTTTAATTAATTAACTCCAATTAAGTTGAAAGGTTGGCATAGTCATCATTGCTCCAGATATCAGCCTTGACTTCCCTCATCACATCAATCATTGGAAATTAATTCACTGCTGTTCACTTCAGGAAAAATGAACCCCCAAAGTTGAACATTATCTAATAGTCCATATTTTGAGGAACCTACCTTAACCCTGTGCTGCAAGTGTAGCAAATGCTGCAATGTAGTGGTGAGAAAACTCTACCAAAACCAAAATCTTTGTGATCAACTTCAGGGAGTGCAAATGCGTGCACGGCATTTCCAAGAACAAGACCCGAGCGTGTTTATATGTTAGCCGTTTGCTTTCTGTAAATGTATGTACAAGGGATCACCTGATTTTCGGATCGGACATCCGATCAGGCCAATGTTCGGCAACATCGGCAAAACATCGGATCAGCAAAATTTGACCTCCCTTGCCGATGTTAACTTGAAGAAAGGAGCAAACTCTGCACTCAGTTTTGGCAAACAAAAATGTCATATTTTTTATTGGAGCATGAATACAAACTGTGGTTTTTCATTTGGTGTGATAAATGAACAGTTAGTGTATACCATAGTTAAACCCACATAAAGTACCCAACAAAATTACACTTAATTAATTCATTGACAGCCATTAAAACAGACAGGGAACAACACCATGTGTGGCACCACACATGAGGTGCCGTGTGACCGGTCTGAAGGTAGCCCGTGATTTAGCCTTTTATTCAAGGCACATGTGGCTACCTTAACACACAACATGCACCTCTGCCGTTGGCATGCACGATGAAGACACCAGTGCAATGGTGCAGCAGTGCAATGCACACCTTGACTAAAGGCTATAGAGATTCAGCCTGAGGTGCTGTGTCTATTCTGCATGTACTGTACACAGTAAGCACTACGTGGGTTTGTGTGATCAGTTAGGCTACATTGGTATCGTGCGCAGTGGCGATAGATGTACAGACTTTACACGATTTATTCTCTCAACAGTGACTGTGAAGGCAAAAACTAATCCTATTACCAGTAATGTGTAAACTGACATTTTAAGGGAGTACCCTGGTTTTGTGTTGTCAGTAGGCCAACATGTACGTCCTGTCAAGGTTACGTTTCAGTTATTGTTGGTAAAAACATTGGATTGGATTGGACATCGGCTGATGTTCTGATTAAAACATCGCACATCGGATCGGCAGTTAAAACCTACATCAATCAATCCCTAGTATGAACATGTGCATGTACATGTAGTTTCTGGGGTTGGCAGGTTGGGGGTTTTAATGCCAAAGGGATTAATTTATCAACAATGAAATCAGGAAAAAGGAAAAATGGTGTGGTGATTACCCTTTATAACAGTACTTGATCAGAGGTTGAACCTTGCTATACTTGTCACTCATGTATATGTACACTATATATGAATGCATCAGTTGTACGTTTGCTATAGTTGTGGACACCGGAAACTGAAAATGAAAGTGCATTGATCTTTGCTGTCACTTGAGGAACTCTTGTGATTAGGTGACAAGGTCATATTTGAAAAAAAAAATTGAGACAGAATGTAGGTCAAAGGTGAAAAAACTGTTAAAGGCCAAGCAGAGGTCACCCTTTGGAGAGGAGACTGTGGAGGGAGTGTTGCTCATACTCTTAAATAAGGAAACTTCAGATTATCATGCCAAATGCGGTCATTTCCTTTAAACATAATAGGAGTTGGTGCGGTGTGGTACAGGAAGAGCAGCATTAACAATCTGTCAAAAAACAAAACAAAAACCTCCTGAAAATGGAAATAAAAAACCTTCAAAAACTGGAACTTGAACAAATCCAGAATTTTTTTCTTGTGAAACTTAATTCTGTAATCAGTTCATGGAATTTTGTATCAGTGGCAGATTTCCATAGTCAGTTCACAATTACAAATATGCATTGTTGGTACGGTAACCGTACATGTACATACTGGTACCACAGGAGTAAATTGAATAGACCTTACACACCACCACAAGTGTCTTTGTTATTTTGACTCAAAAGCAGCGAATGCGCGAACACATATGTATAGTACAGCAAAGATCTCCACTTGGTACTCTTTGCAAAAATAACGCTGTATCCAGAATGATGCCATAATATATACATGTACATGTTCATGTATTCATGTGTGTACATGACAAATACATACATGTACGTACATGGTGGTGTAGACATCCACATTTTCTTGAAGGCCCCATTGGACAAGGTTATTCCACTTGAGGCCGGACAGTTGTCCTCTCAGTAAAAATCAGTCGAATGGATGCTGTTCACAGTTTTGAGTTTTCAATCTTGAGTACCTACATGTACTGTGCATGCCTACAAAGCAGAATTGCTTGGCTGTGACTGTTAATATTCTTGTACATGTAGCTTGACATATATGTACATGTAGTATTATGTAGTTGCATTCTGATTGTTGATTGTATTAAAGCCAGCTTTGTCTACTAGTTGCCTGTATTTATCTGTTGACGGTAACCGGCTGCTGTACTAGTAAGAATTACATGTATGATCTGACTGTTCATGATTAGCCTGTGCACAAAGTATACATGTAGCAGGTGAAAGTGAACGGAATTTTCACTGTGTTCGACTATCATGACCAAAGAAAGGTTGCATGTAATTAATCAGTGGGGTTTCAACTGTCCATCTGTTGTCTTGTTAAAAAGTGCTGTAGTTTAGCTGAAAGCTCTCTTTTGTGTTCCTTACTGCTGCTTCCATATATATGTGGCAAATTATAAAGTGAAAGATTTAGGGTTATTGTTATTTGTCAAATGACATTGGAACATTTAGCCAATACCAGAGGGTTGCACGGAAGTTAAGAGCCTGATCCATCTGTCACTGTACATGTACCCCACCTTCAGTAAAGTCATAAAAGAACGTCAATGATTTCTTTCGGAACAGGAGGACGACCAGTTTCTTCCCGAGCTGTTCACGCAACTGACTGACGAGGCGACAGAGGACAAGAAGCGACGGGACCTAGTACTGTTTCTGAAGGAGTTCTGCAGCTGTGGGCAAGCATGTCAGAACAGAGATAAGTTCTTCAGGGTAAGTGCCTTGTGCCAGCACTCTGGGAAATTTTTACATGTACCTATGCTGATTGAGTTTAAACATACAGGTGAGGTAAACGCAAAGGACACCTGTTCAATGCATATATGAAAACAAAGTCAGGTGGATTCTGAAAAATTGTTCCAATAAAGAAAAAAAAATCTTGAAAAATATAACAATGTAAAAGGAATTTAATTTAAGAATAACCGAAACATAAATGAAGACTTGACAGAAAGATTAATTACATGTATGTAAAAAGTTTGGGCCCAATTTCATGGCGTTGCTTACCGCAAGCAAAAAATCGGTACTTACAATAGCAGAAAATTCTTTGCTTACATGATCCCAAATCACAGCCGAAAAAACTCTTGCTACATGTACATGTATATACAGTGAGCAGGAAATACTTGTCAATGTGCATGGGTGTTGCAATTGCCTGCTAAAAAAAGATGTTGGTTGTCTGCCAACTGCTGTGCAGAAAAATGGAGGCTAAAAGTGTAAACCCGAAGAAAAAGTTTACTAGCGCAATGGACATTGCTCTCTCAACCTCTTACAGTGAAGAGCGACAAATTAGGGAGGTCCCTTTAATGGAACAAATTAACGAAAGGGGATAATTGTTTTGGGTTTAAATCTGTATCTGGCCCAAACTTGTTTTGGCGAAAATATTTCTAGAGGATTTGGATGGACAAAGATTATGCGTGGTCTTTCTTGAAAACTATGCCATTTTGCTCTCCTATTTAAGCCTCATATCAGCCTTTGAGCGCAGAATGTCTGTGCAAGTCTTTTAAGTGTAGAATCTTCGCGGTCTTTAATTTCACATAACCGTTAGTTGTAACAAACACCTGTACATAGACCATGTAATCAATACAGGATTCCAACATCGTTGGTCACTTTAATCTGAAATGCCTTTACCCATAATCCATTTGATCACTAACCTGAAGATGACCATGTATCAGCGTGCCACCTCGGTTTTTTTTTAAACCAGAAAGCAAACATTAATTTTGAAATCCTGTTAATGACCATGCCAGTGTTGTTTTATTATTATTGTCCTTAGACGTTATCCCACCTTGGTATCCTGCCAGCACTGGAAGTTGTCATGGTAAGTGGGTCAAATACTGCTTGACTTGCTTTCAAGTTTATCCATCTACATGCTATTTTAAGTTATTGCTGATGTTTTTCTTTCTTTCAACCACTTGCAGATGCTTTTATTCCACAGTCATGACAGTGAACTTGGCCTAGGCACTGTATTATTTTTTGCTGAAAATACCAGCTCTCAGAATGATAAGATTCTGCAACTACAGTTGCTTACAAAGTTGGACTTTACAAAAGCTGACCCTTAGGGATCATTCGTTCAACAGTTTGCTGCATCGTCATTTTTCAAACTCCAAGAAAATGTGATTGAGTGATATTTGCTACAAGGCCAAGCTGTAGCCCAGGGCTGTGTGAGAGCTCCACATGTGCACTCAACCTCCATGGATTAGATCAGACCTCTTAGTGTGCACATGCTCAGTGGGAACCACTGATAAGGGTACCCTGTACATGTACATGTACCAGCAGTATTTACATCACCATGATCACCTGGTATTGCATTCAGAATTTGCTATGACATGTTAAAACATTCCCCTTGTTACAACACAACCCCTGCATGCTTACTGTCATCATGCCCTGAGTGGTGAAGTAGATTATATGTACATGTAATTTATTGCGTGCACAGTAGCACTTTTTTGGTGCATACTCAGACGGACTGCTTGCAATAATTTTTGTCTTCTTGTTCAGTACATGTATTTGCAACTCACCCTTGTGGATAAACCTTTTGAAACTCCAAACATTGTGAATTTTCCTTCAAAAAAAAGGGAAATTAGGGTAATATGCCTGTGTGATTCACAATGGACTGTGTCCCCAGTATTCATCCTAACTGGTATAAGCACTGAGTTTAGATATTGTGCTTTGAAGATTGCAGACTTCAGGGCTCGAAATTAGCGGGCACAGGTAGCTAAATTGCCCGTTTGTCTCATAAATGCACCCCTAAATTATAAAGAAAAGTGCATGCACTAATGCCCGTGAATATTCTTGCCGTGAAAAGAACCTGAACTTTTTTATTTCAGATCACCCTTGTCATAAACTGAGCCATGTGATGCCGGCCTTTTCCCACAATGTTTTGCCCCCCTACCGTTAATTTGATCCTTTTAACATTAAGACTCCTCAGAACTTCACCTATTGGAAGTTGAGGATGGTTAGTGTTAACGATGATTAAGAAATTGTTTGAACTGCGCCTTTGAAAAATTAAAAGGAAAACCTTACTAATGGAGGCATCACAAAACAGGTCACGGTTGGTTCTTTGCAGGGCATGGATGACAGCGAGGTGAGGCAAGCAGCCGTGGACATCTTTGCCTACATCGTTGAGTACAGTCCTTCCATGGTCAGAGAGTTCATCCTTCAAGAAGGCAATGGGCAGGAGGATGTAAGTAGGCTACCACACAGTGTTTAGTTTTGTGGACGTATCTGTTGCCATTCATGTGACGACCTGTGGTTGGTTGGTGAATGTCTGTCTGTCTGTCTCAGTGTTCGTGAGTCTGTGACTAAGTTTGTTGTGATCTGTCACTTGGTTTAGGAGTATATTTACTACTGGGCTTGAGACTGCTGCTGGGTCAGCACTATTGTACATACATGGTGTATTTGTCTCTAGGTTTGTGACTAAACATGCATTTCTAACAGGGTCTGTTACTGAATCTGCCACTTGATTGGTGTTATCCTCTCATTGGTTTGATGACTGTACATGAATCTGTCAGCTGGCTTTGTGTACCTCTTTCTGCATTCTTGGCTTTATCTTTCACTAGATCAATCATAGATCCGTATATTTTTTTCCAATACAGTCAAACCTATCCATAAAGACCACTCAAGGGAAACGGAAAATGTGGTCTTTATTTACAGGTAGTCTCTCTGTACAGGTTGTTAATATTTGTGACCCCATGTGGAAAGTTAAGTCAGTTTAACCTATAGTGACCATTGCATCCAGCCCATAATGACGTTATTGTGCTTTAAATGGAAAAATCTTTCAATTTATTTAATTGTATTCTCAATACTTGTACATGTGTGCTTAGTGTGTTGTTGAGTTTTTAAGACTTTACTTATATGATAAACGATGATATGAAAAACAGACACTGGGTCACCTCATTTTATTTTTAATACAGGGATCGTAGTTTGGGAATTGTTTTAATGAGAATTAGCTATGCTGCAGCAGCGCATTACCGGCACAACACCAGGGACGTTTCTCACACAGTGCCATAATGTTGGCTCTGAAAAGAGCCATTTGGCTTGGTGTGACCTCCTTGTGGGCCAGTTGGAGTTAGTGTTCAGACTTTTTTGAAGAAGTGATGATTGGCTGGCGGCTTGACATCAACGAAGGCTGTGGCATCCTTGAACCATTCATACATGCATGCGTAGTGTTTTTGTTAACGCAACCACAGATATCCTGCAAGCGTAGAGCTAATGCCCAGGTGTTGATTGACTAATCCACTAAAATGGTTTATTGGGCTTTTTTACACAATTGAAACTGAACAAAAGCATTGTAACAGAGGCAATTTGTTTTCAATGGTCGCTTTATTTTTGCACGACTCACCCGTTGCGGTCATTCTGTGCAGACTTTGTGTCTGCACAGGTGCAATAATGGATGGTTGCTGGTCGCATTAAACAGTTGGTCGTTATATACAGTAAAAAAACCAACAGTTTTTTCATTGGCGGATTTAAAAATGGTCGTGATTGACAGGTAGATGTTATACACAGGTGGTCGCTTGGACAGGTTTGACTGTATCTGATATGGGACCTGTATTACAGAATGACTTTCGTTGAGAAAATTGGACTATAGTTTAACTGGCATTTTATCCCTTTGAGCTTGAGGTAGACAGTATAGATGACACATGAAAATAACATTGTTACCGGTACATGACAAAATCTGCACAAACTTTGGATACATTTTAAGTTGCATTTCCCTTCCAGTCCCTTCTTTTCTACGTACGCACTCCTTGGAAAAGCAAAAGGAGTGGATGTTTTCCTCTGATAGGAAGCCACCAATTTCTGAGCCTTCTGGATGAAATTGGACTGAGGGATATAGAATCTAATGGCTACATTTAACACAGCTGCATGTACATGCATTTCTGTGTGTGTTGGTATGGGATACATAATCAGCATTGGCATGCAGATAAGCAGCTGTCATCTGGGCCTGTGTACAAGTAATTATTCCAGAATATACTGTACGTAAGTGAAAAGGAGACTTTAAAGTCAGAATTGGCTCAAACCTTCTCCCACATAAATGTAGTATCACATTCAATGGCAAAGAAAGAAAATCAGGGAATATGTTTGTTAGTGTATTCTCCCCAGCCTAATTGTGAAAGGAGTTGTGAAATAAGCAGAATGTTCAAATAAGATGGATAAGTGATTGTGAAAACCGTACAGTTTTGGAGCAATGGTATTTATTATTTGAGTAGAATGTTGACATCCCTTTTTCTTGTATCCAATAGAGGCACAGAAGACAGTATTAAGCAATGTCTATCTTAGCAAGTCCACAATGTCACTCACACTGTGACCGATATAATGGAAGCCTTAAACTTGAAAACATTGATCGTGGGTTTCAGCATTTCTGTTTCCACAGTTGGGCATTTGGATGGCGAATAGGCAGGAGAGTGTTTATGTTACTAGTCAGTGTAATGATTGTGTGATGAAAGAAAACATTGCATTATGTATGGTCCCTGGATAAAAAAGGGGTCCGTTTGGTACTCCTGATTGCCATCATCACCTTGCCATCATGTGCAGAAAATGCAGATATTTTAATTGTTGGAAAAGTAAGTATTGTTCATAAACACTGGTTCCGCTAAGCTGTGAAAAGGAAAGGCTAAGTCAAATGATGCTAGAAGTTGTAGGTTTATTTTGAATTTGGTTTCAGTCTGACCTACTCATGGGCTTATGCCAAAATTTCATCTGTTGTGCATCAACAGCAAGGGGTTCTCTTTATCATGCAATTTGTTGTTTGTGTCTCCCCAGGATGTGACGCTGATAAACCAGATCATTGAGCAGATGATATGCGATGCAGACCCAGGTAGGGTTTAATCCTTCATAAAAATTACTGTATTGGAGATGTTTAAAAGCAAGTATCACTTTTTGAAAATGCTGGCAATCTCTTGTAAGCCAGTGGGCCATGCAGTAGTGATGAAGCGATAGTCCTCATGTTGTGATTGTGCACACATGGCTTGCAGCTCCCAGGTTGAAAGATGAGGTTTGGTTCCCAAGGCAGGGTTCGATTCCTGAGCCAGGAATTGAACCTGGCCAGGGTTTGATTCCTACATGTACATGTATAGCTCAGTTCACATGTTGATTGGATTTCACACACCGCCAGATTCTGTAGGTTTTACCCAGAATTTTCTACGGTTTTCCTCCCACCTCTTAAATGGCAAGTTCTCTCTGTATCCTCTCCACCTCACTCTGTAACATCCTTAGTTCTAAAGGTCATTCTCCGTTGAAATGCAGGTACGTGCTTTGATGGAGTTACTGATCCAGACCTAGATTCAGATCACATTTCTCTCATTACTTATGTTCGCGTAAACTTGTCTTTACAGACTTGGGCAGTGCTATGCAGCTCATGAACATCCTTAGGATTCTGCTGGACCCAGAGAACATGATGGCCACAGTAGCTGTTAGTGTGAGTTCACCTCCTTCATTTCATTTCTGTTACCCCTCACCCTGCCAGACACAACAAAAAGGACAATTTTATCACCCTTCAAAGTGCAGTATGCTCATTCTAAAAGATGTTGAATCTCGTCATCAGAAATTCCCTATCATTCACTGCACGTGTGGCTGCCCAGCTCAGGAAGCCATGTCAACATATGCCAAAGGGCTTGGCTTACATGTAGGGATGATGCAATCATGAGATGTTTGTCTGTGTTGGCATGGTGTGTACTTGCGAGAAATTGATTTGGAGTGATGCATTTCCACATCCCCGGATTTCCCTGATATATTGAATTAGCTGAGAGTGCTGTATGCATGGAGCATGTTACAAGCGTTCAGCAAGTTTCTGAGGATATTCAGAAACAACGACCTGCAAAGTATTGGTCATGGAGCACGTAACAATTATCTTCAGGCCAACAAAAAATTACAGTCGAACCTTGTTAATAAGAGCTCTGTTAATACAAAATTTTGCTTATAACAAGGAAATGTTAAGGTCCCAATCCTTTGTTTTTCATTGTTTTCATTCCTGATTATACAAGGTTCCTGTTACAACAAGGTAATTTGCAAAGTCTGATGACCTCTTATTAACCACTACCAGCCGGGGAC